TGGTTTCGCATGAGAATGATTTGCACAGGGCAAATTATGATCATTTATAATATGGACACTACCGGGTTTTTAAAGCTGAAATTAAAATATTCCGGTTTAAATGTCTTCAAAATTTATTCTGGAACACAAGTTATCAAATATTTTGATGTATATAGTGGTTATAATTGAATATTTCCTAAGCTAAGCATCTGCGTCATCTGCCATTTAAAAGGGGGCGTGGTCACTAATCCAAAATGGCCAGTGGGACCTTTGCATAATGAGGTCTACATTGTTGAGAATTTTTAAAATGTTTCATGAGCTAGCACAGTAAAACTTTGCACACAGATACCTCAATATATTTTGCTGACATACAATATGAAAGTTGAAAGACATACTTTTCATATTTTTGTCCAATTTTTATGTTGAAAGATGCCTTAAATTGACATACAATTTTCCTCAATTAAAACTGATAAAAAGAACAAAGAAACTCAATGGGAATGTAGGCCAACATGTCACCTAGTGTTAAAAGGTGGAGTCAGACCTTAATTATGGGTTTTACACTCACATTTCACATAAAAAATTTAAAATTTGGATTCCATTGCGTGGACAGCCATTTCCAATACAAATTACAGAGTTACAGAGTAGTCTCCTTTGAGTTACCCAAGTACCTAATTTCTGTGTCAGTACTATTAGTCTAGTTAACTTTGTAGTTGGTGTAGTGTCTGTAGATAATGATAACATTTCTAAATTAAGATTAAAGAAGGCTTCTTAGAAGGTCTCCTTGCCTTAAAACTAAAGTGGATGCAGAACAATATTGTGTTTTTGATTTTTGATCAAGAAATGTTTTTGGAAAAATATATATCAAGTTGAATTAAGGTAAGTCTACAATTTAATTGTCATACACTCTCCACCAGTTGCAATTTCCATTTCTACACCCAGACAAGTGTAATACAACTACAGTCAGTACTAACAATTGAGTAAATAAATAAATGAAGTCATAAAGATTAAAGAGGAAGCTCGGTTGACAAACGGTACACCTTGCCTGCTTTACATCCGGACTTACCTTTCTAATTCTAACTCTAAGCCTTTCCTTCAAAACTTTCTTGGTTGGGCTTGTGTTTCTAAATTGTTTGTTCTGTACTGCATGTGCTCTATGTTAAAGCACGGAACTAGAAGCCGTGATTAAGATGTTTTCCTTCTGATCTTCCTAACGGCAATCCAGGAAGCAATTAATTAATCTCATTTTTTGTGAAAACGTTTCGCTCTATGCAAACAATAATATTGTATGTAGTTTGCGATGATCATTTTAAAAACCGAGATAACCACAATTTACCCAGATAAATTCGCATAAAACACTTGGAGATTGGTGACGACTTCAGACAAAGTATGAAATACATTAGACAATGTAATATATAGGCTACATTTATTTAATGTGTGTCTGTCTGTGCACTGCAAATGGCTGGTCAGAATTTTAGAACACTTTGTTATTGCAAGAGAAGTTAAAAGTTAAATGATATTAATGGAGTAGGAATAAGATATTTTGAGAATTAGGGGAATGTAAAGTGAGTAACAGTAATAACATCGCTGTTTGAACGGATTTGCAAAATATGTAACATCTGTTTTGCAACACAAGTCATGTTGAAAAAGTATGTTCAACAACACCGACAATACACTCTTGAGCGTAAGAAATTAGCACCTGCTCCTCAACAAAAAAGGATTTGACCAATGCGAGTAGCTGCAAGGAGATAGAAAGAGCTTATGGCAATTATTGCTCACACCGACAATGCTTATATTTTAAGTGCTGAATGATTATATGAGGATGATGTTGACTTGTCTGGTTTATCAGCGCCGCAAGATGAAAATGATAAATCAGCTACTTTAGACTCTTCCCATCAGAGGCGTCATTTCAGGGTTTTTTCAGGGGGGGGGGGGGGCAAAACCACAACTAGGTCGGCTTGTTAAGTTGTTTATTACTGGAGGCGCCACAGTACATAGCAATTTAAATAAAACCTGCAAATTAGGGGGGGGGGGAATGCCCCCACGGCCCTACCCAAATGATGTTCCTGGGGGGGGGGGAGGCAAAACCACAACTAGGTCGGCTTGTTAAGTTGTTTATTACTGGAGGCGCCACAGTACATAGCAATTTAAATAAAACCTGCAAATTAGGGGGGGGGGAATGCCCCCACTGTCCTACACAAATGATGTTCCTGATGCCCATTGTTAGTGCAAACCAGGCCACTCCTGGGAAGATGATAGCAGCTAGAAACCAGGGCTGGTGCTAGGAGGGTGCAGGGCCTTGGGAAAATTGAATTTTGCGGGGCCATTGAGTTATATATTCCGCCGATAGGATATTAAGACACGTTATAGTCGTACTGGGGCCTTGCTGGTCATAATGGGACGCGTCATAACAGATATTTATTCACTCGCTTATTTTCCGAAATTTCTATTTTTTTCCTTTAAAAGTTAATTAATAACTCCGAATATTGTATTGACTGGATTAGGAACTATTAGTAGGCTTAGGAATATTATAAATATATATATATATTGGTTTCGTTTAAATCAATGAAAATTTTTTAATAAATCATGTACGGCCATACATCTTACACACTAAAACGAAAAAAAAAAAAAAGTACGGGTAAACTGTCAGGTGGGCATGTATGCTAGAAGCATTTGCACTCTCTGAACTTATTCTCTGAGGATTGTGCTCCAACAGTGAGTCTGCCACGCCAGCTTGCATGATCCATAACAAATGTTCCCCACGAATCAAGGTCAACGTCAATGGATTTGAGTGAAGCGTGTGGATGCTGATAAAAATCAGCCCATTTTAGATTGCAGGACGTCTGTATCAGGGACTCTGTCCTGCCGCCTTACTTATACCAATAAGCTTACGTAGAGAACGTAGATGGAGATGGTTTAGCTGTTTATAACTATAAGTGTCTAGCATGTCTGCTGTAGGCCTACACTGTACATAGGTCAGGTGAGATGCTAACAGGGTTGTTAACAATACTAAAAAAAATTATTGGCAATACCAATACCAATACTGCCTGTAAAATCTATTGGCAATACCAATACCAATACAATTTTAAAACCAGTATTGCAATACCAATACCAATATTTATTTATTATTGCCTTACCAATACCAATATTTGGGTCATTCGACGAATAAAACGCAAATACGTAATTCATCGCTCTATATCACTTACATCGATAAACGATAACAACATTTTTGGCTAATTTAGACAATGTATTTTTAACCAAATTTTGTTCAATAGTTAACACTTGCTTCATCAGTTTTCCTCAAAGCATTCAAAAGTCTTTGACAACATATTAAATAAGTCGGCATACCTTAACGTCCTTAAGCAACAAGATTTTTAATATGTATACTGTACACATATTATGAATGAATGGATGGATGGATGAATGAATGGATGAATGAAGCAAATGACTGTCATAGAAAAGCAAATGATACATAAACGGTTAAACATCATACTATAGCAAAAACAGTCAGACCGAGTCAGTGGATTGCATCACATCTGGAAAACTAACGATGAACGAAGAATTTTAGTAGAGTTCACAGGGTAACGTCACCTATTTGGCCGTTACCACTTAGCCAGGCGAAGAAAAGTACATTTGGAAAGGCATTCACCAATTTGTCAGTAATCTGCATCTCTCCAGCATTTTTGTCACAGATATTTGGCCACATAATTGAGAAAAAGTAATAAATAATAATCTCATGAATATTAATTTGGGCGAAGTTAATTTTCATGAATATTAACATCGGCAGATAAAGCAGTTTTACCGTTATTAATAATTAAATTTTAGTTTAAAATTTAAATTCATGAGTTATATCTAAAATCTGTCTACATTGGCATTGGATGAAACAAAACATTAACTTGACTCACTTTCAAGCAAGAAATTCTGTAAAAGTAAAAGGAAATCGGAAAGAAAATATTGACCAAAGAAAAAAATGGCATCAAGATCTTGAAAGTATTACCTATCAGTCCATAATATGCGCAATCATGGAAAAGTTATGACCGAAATAGAACGACGCATTCACGCTACTAAAAATAATTCTAACTAATTACAACAAATTTAATATTATATAAATAAAAAAATTTTTTTTCTTTGTTTGGCCTTATTTTTGTTTGTAGGCCCTAGGCACGGTGCCTAAAGTGCCTAAGCCTTAATCGAGCATTGGTAAGTCACTGGTCAATGCTCATTGCCAAAGATATCATATATTATTTGATTTCTATTATCATTCATTTCATTGATCAGTCTCATTCAAAAATTGTTTGGCAATGTCACTCGCAAGATGGCGACACCAAAGAAAAATTTATTGTATTCAGCTTTATTCACAACCAATGTTGTAGAGAATTTATTGAATATTGCTTTTAGTATTGGTTAAAAATCAATACCAATATCAAAAATAATTATTGGCAATACCAATACCAATATCAAATTTCAAGAAGTATTGCAATATCGTCCCAATACTTAAAAAAAGTATTGGCAATACTACCAATACCAATACAATATTGCAATATTAACAACCCTGGATGCTAATACGATTGTCATATTTACTCAAGTGACATGACTGAGACCCTTTGCTCCCAAACACTCTTGCAGAGCCTTCCAAATGCAACATTTGTTTTGGAAATTTGGTTATTGGAAATTCAGTTAATGATAATTTCATCATCTATTGTTACTGACCTGGAGACTTGGAACTTGGAGAGGGGGGTGCCCAAATTACAAGTATGTGAATTTTCCACTACTTGGAGATTCTGTACCTTTACTGATATTTTAGGTTCTTTGTAACTTTTTCCTGGAGCTGCCTGGTTCAAGATTTCCATTTTTGTATAAATATATTTTTTGTATTTTTAACGCGGCCGTAGTTGTCGAACGCCTTAGCAAAGTGATCAAGCATTTGCTACATTTTCATAAACTGTCGCAATTTAGTGTCACCGTTTTTATTAATTAGACATTCATAGAGCAAGGTGAAAGGTCAATCTTTACAAAAAGAGGCTGAAAATGAAAATAAGCTAAGACAAACTAACAGGACATCTTAAATTTCTTTGCCTAATATCTCGTCGGAAAGACTTTGATAAAATGCTGGAACCTATTTTGGTAATGTGTTTAAAAAAAGAGAAAGTATTCCAACCCGCCAACTAATCGGTGACCATGTCAAGGGTAAGGAAATCTGCAGTTGTTTTGAACACTTGACTTGCTACAGTTACAGGCTACGTCTACTAGTCAACTACTCACCCAGACTCTACTCACTGCTCACTCACTACTCACTGAATCTGAGTCTGACTACTGGCTCTACTCACTGTACTGTAGTCTAGCTGTAGTATTAGTTGTAAAGTAGACGTAATATACTGCACCATTGCAATGAGTTTGACTTTTGAGAGTTAACGGTCTACTCACACTTCACAGAGACTCTAATTGACTAATACTATAATTATAATAGTTACTATAACTATAACAATGACAATGACTATAACTGTTATAGTTATACCTACATAATTTAATAAATTACAAGAAAGACAATTGGCATTGACTACATGGTCTTTAGTAAACATAACTGTGTTGCTGCAGCTTTGATGACAGCTATCACTTATGATTATGACTATGGACATGGACCAGAACTATGGATCATAGTCCCATCTCATCGTCATCAGTGTATGAAGTATGGCTACACTAAGCTAGGTACTTTGACACACATTTTAAATATTGTCCAATAGCCACAAATGATACACCATTTTAAAGGGCTCGCTATAAGCTTTGCAAAAACACCAATTTCATCTTTCTATCTTTTATGGAAAAAAAGTTATGATTTTTTTGGTGAATTTTTTAACCCCTTTATTTATCTTTGTATTTAACGAAAAAACTTGTGACCAACTTTCCACATTTCTGCTTTATTTTGTCCACAACTTTTTTATTTTAAAAGATAATGCTACCAAACTTTCAGGAGACATTCTCAATGCAATATACAACACAATAAACAACAAAACTTTTATATAACATCAAGACTTTTATTTTTTTATATATTTAATCGAGGGTATGTTCAGAAAAAAGTGAACAGAAAAATTGGGAAAATCATTATTTATACAGGAAAAATTGAAAAAAATAACATGTTTATTGAATTTTAACTAATTTTATTATGCTTGTGTTAAATTTTAAATCATTATATTTATAAAAAGGTAAGTAGTCTTTTTTTATATATAAAATTGAACGCATGTAATTATATATAACAAATACTAATATCACCCATAAAACTAATTACAAGCATACCCTTATCGGAGTATGTCATTAAATATTTAAAAGGTAATGGGGATCTTCTGCCTGCCATTTTCCGGGTAGAATGCCCTATAGTGACTTCTTTGTCTTGTTGATGAAACCCACACATTTTTCCTTCATAAACTTTGTCGCCGCCATCTGCATCCAAACATTCCGCCTTATTGGATATGGGCCATGGAAGGAATTCCAAAGTTTGCAACAGAAATGTAAAATTTTCTCTTCCACCCAAAAGAAGCCTAACATTAAATACTAATCATAATTCTGAATCTATACAATTTTTAGTTTCTTTTTAATATTATTCAAGTGATGTTTTTATTAAATTTATTTCCTTTTTTTGTTTTGTTTATTTAATTAGAAATATATTATTGTTGATATAAATGTTAACATTTTCTTATGCCTCTGTCCTAGTTTGATATAATTACTATGATGATGTAGAGTCTTATTTATTTATTTATTTTAATAAACTTGTTATAGACTAATTCATAGGTTATCTAATTTTAATTTTAAACAAGTCACAGTGACTCAGTGACGCAATTTTCACAAAAAATAAATATGTACGAAAAAAAAAATAATTATGCATTACCATATTTTATTGGAATTACAATTGATAATAGTATATTTTTAATAGTGGTAGCAACTGCTTTTATTTTGTTATTATCATTAATTATAATTTATAAATACCACTAATAACTAGCATTATATATTATAGTAGTAGTATTACTACTACTACATATAATAATTATATAAATCAAGGGACAAAACAAGTCCGAAATTCACCGGACTACACGAACTACAATTATTTAAAATTATTTAATTTATTAAGTTGTACTACTTTCTAATAATATTGTAAAACAGTTTTCCCTTTATTAACTAATTAGTCTACCACGGATTATCAAAGATGAACTATAATGAATAAATGAAAATATCTTTAAGTTAAATTGGTAATAACAACCATTTCCGACAACCCACTTTTTTTTGTGAGGGGGGATGACTCGGGTGACTACTAACAATTTTATTTTCTTACACCTTCCAGTTGGATCGGCATAACTTTTGTGCGTTTGGGCTAATTTTAATGAAGTAAAGTTATTAAACTGTGTGAATGAATGAAGCAGTATTGAGCTAAACCACTATGTGTTTGAGTTTTACATTAAAAAGTAATAAGCAATTAACGTGCATACCGATGAAAAATTAAATGCGTTACCGGTCACAAGATTCTAAATGCTGCAAATATGGTATTCACATGTTTGGAAAAATATGTGCTCTACGTCACCGATAATTTAAATACTATTATTAGGAAACAGTGACGTACAACGCAAAAAAACGACACCCTCGCTATGCCGTATAGCTATATTGCAGCTCAAGTTTTTTCGTGATTTTTCGACTGCGCAGAAGGGATGCGCGTGCGTCTTTTAAAATACCTAACTAAGCAATTATATTATAATAATTATAAATAATAATTGATAGGGAATAACAAATAACTGACATAAAAAGTGTCATAAGACTAAGAAAAGAGGACAGCTAATAATATAGGTATATGCCTAAATGCCTACCTTAGACTTCATGAAGTATCTACATGTCCGGCAACCGGATGAATAATTCTCGAGATATTCGTCCGGCAACCAGGTCACATGACCGCCGAAACAAAGTTGGACGAGATATCTGTCCATCAGCCTGTGCGTCGGAGATGCATGAGGGGGCGACGAATATACACTTCATTTCAAGAAATAAGTAGGGGGGGGGGTTGGAGCAATGCATACTAGAAGGAAGAAATACTGAGAGCGAGAGAGAAAGGATAAAAATGATAGTGAGGATGATAAATAATTAAGGCGGGGAAGTCGAAAGTTCACAAAGAAATAGACCCTATATCTTAATATAGGGCCAATGTATTGTGGTGTTGGGGCAGCCTACGTCTCACACAATGTTAATAGCCTAAAATAAAACTTTTTGACAGTATATCTTTTGACTGTCACCTGGCAAGTATTGGTCTTATTTTCTTTGGTTCATATTTTAAATCTAGGCTACTAAGGAGAGTGACCTCTTGTCACATGACATGTCTGCCGGAAAATATCTCCAGCACTATTTGTCTGGACGTGTAGATACTGCCTAGACTGCCTTAATATATATACTAAACTAATCATACCCTTTTAATACGGTATGCCAGTATGATTGTATGATTTTCACTGTCTGATAAGTGCCTACACTCAACGGTTTAGAAAAAAGAGTTGGGTAGTAATACCTTAATCACAATTAATTATTTATTATTTTCAGTGAAATAAATTACCCACTTGTCACCTTCTGGGCTTTGGTCATTGATCCTAAGTGGCCTTTGCAAGGAGTAGGACATAGTTTTGAGAAGACAAAAACAAAAAAGGAATAAATGAAAAAAGCATGGATTCTGTTACTGTTATAATTATAATTTTTATTTGTAAACTCCTATCAGGCAAAATTATATCCAATATGTAATATTAATAATGTAGAATTAGATATCCATTAATTAATATTATGATCATAAGGCCTACAAGCTTCAATTCAGGTCCAGATTAATCATTGAGAAATTTAAGCAGACGCTGGGGATCAGAAGAAATTGTACTCATAGAATTAGAAAAAAAATCTAGATTAAAATAAATTCCATAAATAGCTAAATATTTTAGTACCTATAAAATTGGAAAATGTTTTTGATACTATATGATTTGCCCAATGAAAGTGATCAGTGACTTATTTCTTGGTCTTTGCACAAGGTTCACATGTTTTGATGACAGAGTAGCACTTGCTTCTATTTCTTGACCCAGTTATTTTCATAATAATGTTTTACCCTTACTTCTGTAACCTAAATTATAGCTCTATAATGCTGATAAATTATTAAATAGTTTACTGCATATACTTGTTTATAAGCCAACATTTTTTGGGGAAATATTTCAGTGGAATAAGTGGCGTGGTTGACTTATGAGCGGGTCATAGGAGATTTGGATAATTTTCTTTAGGTCCATTTATTCTACTATAAAAACAATGAAAAAAAAATTATTTAACTGAAGTCAACATATAGGAGTGTGCAAAATTGGGTCTTACAGTTGTCCTCATTTTGCTAATTGATGTTGTAGATCTTCGAGGTCCTATTTCGAGATACACAACTTCATCAATCCGTGATCACTTCTCAGTTCCCTCAGCTGCTCAGTATTACACAGAAGACAATGGAGTCGGTAAAGCACTGGATGACCATTAACAAGCTCAAATTAAATGATGATAAGACTGAGCTGCTCCCCATTGCGACCGCTCAGAAGCAGAAATCTGCACATAACACGACATCCATTACTCTCTCAGGTGTGCGTATTGAGTTAGCTCAAACAGTGCGGTACCTGGGTGTCTACCTAGATAGAAGACTAACTTTTGAAAGTCATATTAACATGCTATGCAGGGCGATTTTTCTGGAGCTGCGCAGGATTAGTCAAATCAGGCCCTTCCTAACAATTGATACAACAAAGAGGCTGATGTCTGCATTTGTGCTATCGCGCATGGACTATTGCAATGCTCTCATGGTGGGTCTTCCAGCTACGCTCCTGGATAAAATTCAAATAGCACAGAATAATGCGGCTCGCATAGTTCTCCGCAAACGCAAATTCGACCATGCAAAAACACTTCTGAGAGAGTTGCATTGGCTGCCGGTGCGTGCTCGCATAGAGTACAAAATCGCAACTTTGTGCTACCGCTGCTTACATGACCTGGCGCCGTCCTATCTGAAAGAGCTGCTGACGCCTTATGTACCCAGTAGAGAGCTCCGCTCATCCGATAGTGGCAAACTCTCGACACCACGTGTTTGCCTTGAGACTTACGGAAAGCGCACTTTCGCATTTGCTGGTCCAACAATTTGGAACGCCCTTCCTGTCGATCTTAGAAACAACCAGACACTGGAGTCCTTTAAAACAGATCTAAAGACACATCTATTTCGCAAATACCTTCTGGGATGATTGTCTACCTTATTTTCCATGTGTTGCTGTGTTGCTCCGGGTTGAAATGGCTAGAAAGACTTTGATATTGTATGCTTGTAATTAGTTTTTGTAGTGTTGTGTTTGTTTTAAATGTGGTGAATTATAGATATGTTTTTTGTTGACTTTGTACCGCGCTTCGAGCCTTTGGGGATGAAGCGTGTTTTTTTAAATGAACTTTATTATTATTATTATTATTATTTTTGGAAATGTTCAGTAGGGTTACCTTTTATACCAGTAGACACTCAAAGCGAGTATCTGTTTTATTCATAATACTTTATGTTTATTAGTTTTTTACTCTTTTTACTTACACAATAATTATTTTTAACAGTTTGGATTATTTTCCTTAGTATCATATTGCTTCTATTGGCATATTTTTTAAATGGGTTTGGCTTATGAGCAGGTTACAAAAATTTTAGGCTTTACAATAGGCATTTCCAAGCTAAATATATAATAATAAATCAGTGAGTAATTAATTGGAATCTGCCGATTAAGGCAGGCTGATTAAATGTAATTAACCAATTTGTCTCATGGTGCAGTTAGCTTCTCAAGACTATGATAAATTAACCTAGCCATTGCTAATATTTTCAGAGGTTTCTGGAAAAATATTAAAGATTTCCTAGATAGTAGATTCAAGCTAGAAATATGAAAGTATGAAAAATTTAGCTATTCCCAAATACTTAACACACATTGACTCAACCAAAGAAAAATGTGAACAAATTTGTAAAATCATATCAAGCTATTGAAATCTTGATGGGTTTAGAAGAATTATAATGTTATTTGTTGATAGTTGTGTCATTGTGTAGTTTTTAAGATTTTACATTTTTTAATGAAGATTATGCAATTATTAATGGAAAAAAATCATTAAAAATATAGAACAAATGTTTAAAATAGAACAAAAAAAAGTTTGTGATAAAATGTACTTTTCAAAAGAGTAATATACTTGGTTTTTCATTTGTATTTTACTTTAGCAGTTTAAATAGTTTACATATTTTTAATAATTGTAAAGCACGACTTAGAGCTGTAAGATAAGCGCTATACAAAAATGCCTAAATAAATAAATTGATGAGTCTGTAGTCACATCTCTAAGATTAGATTTTTTTTTTGACTTTCAGCTAAGAATTTGTTGATCTTCAAAATAAGAAACACAATGGTAAAAAGGAAATCACAGAGTGGAGATGATCTTGATGGAGACCAATCAGTGCCTTTGCCAATACAGACATTCTTTTGGAGACAAACAAGGTTTTATACTTTTTACTATACAATTTTTATTGAAGGCTATTTCTTATTGAGATTTTATAAAACTAAAATGTGTACCTAATCCCAATCTAGAGTAACTGGAGTGTAACAGATCTTTATTAACTCATCATTGAAGTCGCTGTGTGCAATCTAAATTAACCTCTATATATATGTAAGCATGTGGGCTGCATGCATTTTAAAGCTAAATATGAGTTGAGTTCAAAGTATTCTAGTCAAGCTCAAGGATAAAAAAATAGAAGTGAAAGAATAATTTTTTGTTTATTGGGTCTCCATCATTTTAACAAGTGGCACAATTCTTAATAAATGAGACATGTTGAATTGTGCAGGTTCAACTCCTTAAAAAATGTTTCCCCTAGGCCATTAATGTCCATGCTTAAATATTGGATTAATTATAGAACACACGGCAGAGAAATATGTTCTTATCATTTTAAATTCAAATAATGTATACACTTTTACAATCTTATGTTCATTGTACATCTTTATTTAAATTTTTTATTAAAAAAAATTGTTCCTGATATTTAATAGAAATTATTGTATACCAAGTCAGAATACTTTTGTGTCTGTTTTATTAAAAAAATACTTTAACTTTTTGCTTAAAGCCCCTTCATTAGACCAAAACAAGGAAAGTTGTGTGAGGCATCATGTGTGGTAAGTGTGAGAGCTGTTATTTTTAGGGTTAAAATTAAGCTTTTTACATGTGCTCAATAAAAGATTTAGTTGCTAAAATTATTATTATTATTCCTCCCAGAAAACACCTAGTCAACAAGTGAAAATATATAAATTCAACCTGATTGTTATGCTGCCACATGAAATTGAAATGTAGATTTAGTTCACCATCAGTAAATACAATGAGATTGCAAAGTGAAAGGGAAACAAAGGAACAAACATTTCAAAGTTTAGCTGTCCAGTAGCTGAAAGGTGCAACAGAAGGCCCATAGGCCCAGTTTTATCAAACTCAATCAACTTACCAATTAATAACAGAATAAAAGCACATGGGGCCCTTGACTTGAGCCTTTTATGGGAGGGGGAATGATAGAGAAGATTAGATATACCAAAACTGCTGGGTACAAAAGCCGTTTTTAATTTAAAAAATGATGTAGTACTGATGACAATTTACAACATTTTAGCCATAAACACTAAAAAGTAAACAATTCTTTGTTCAATTCAATTTAAGAAAATTCAAAATTGTTATTATTGTTTTGCAAAAGTTTGTCAGTATTGCAGATGTTACAAATACCTACAAGAAACTTACTGCCATTTTCTTTCAGTCCTTTGAACGAGTAGTTGTCCAGAACATTCTCCATGGCTTGTCCCCAAGTCTATGTGAAGCAGTTCAGAGTGTTTCTCGATGGAAGGTTGTACAAGCATCCTTTCCCCACTTGATGCATGCCTGCTCATCTCTCATCGCAGCATGCAAAAAGGTAAGCATATAATAATGTTTTTTAAAACGAGTAATTTGAGGGAAGAAATTTTTTTTCAACTTCCAAACTGTTTAATAGGTTTTATCTCAGAAATTAGAAATAAATACATTTTTTGTGTGTAGAATCCATTCTCTGCCATTATTTGGGCAAAGAGTATGAATTAACAAGCATATCAGAAACAGTGGTCAGTAAGATTTTATACATCAGAAACAGTGTTCAGTAAGATTTTATACATCAGAAACAATGAACAGTAAGATTTTATACTTCAGAAACAATGTTCAGTAAGATTTTATACATCAGAAACAATGAACAGTAAGATTTTATACATCAGAAACAGTGTTCAGTAAGATTTTATACATCAGAAACAATGAGCAGTAAGATTTTATACTTCAGAAACAATGTTCAGTAAGATTTTATACATCAGAAACAATGAACAGTAAGATTTTATACATCAGAAACAATGTTCAGTAAGATTTTATGCATCAAAACAATGAACAGTAAGATTTTATACATCAGAAACAATGTTCAGTAAGATTGTATAAATCAGAAACAATAAACAGTAAGATTTATACATCAGAAACAATTTTCAGTAAGATTTTATTCATCAGAAACAATGAACAGTAACATTTTTTATTCATGTGATGTCTGCTTTATTAGTTTCTGTTTTCAGACTGACATCATCAGGTCACATCATAAGTTTCCTGTTGTTTAGTTGTTAATGTTTACAGGATCTTTACCATAAGTTAAAATAAACACTACAGACAACTATGAGATAAGATTTTACACAATTTACAATTTATTTCAACCTTGATGCAAACAGGGGAATCCTGAAAACCGATTCGGTCCCAGTGAAACAAAATTACTTTACACACTTCACTGGATCATACTAGACGCAGCTTCCGAATGTGAGGACGCAGATGCAGAGTTCATGGCATTGAGAGATATTAAAGGGGGATCACCCCATATGCATTCCTTAAGCACTGTCCAACTGTTTGTTTACTTGTTTGCTCCCCTGGTTCATCTAATGAAGGTGGGTTATCACCCTTAGATTATATTTTCAATCATTCCCATTTTTTTGGCTATAGTTTGGTACCTTGTATAAATTGACAATGTAAAGCTAAACTTTCCTTGCCTAGAAATTGTTTTTTTCCATTTTGTACCCAAATAATTATAAGGCATTGGTGCTAATAAAAAAGTTATTGCTTAAAAATTTCAGGATTCAGATTTTGAATCTCTGAAGCTGGAGAATGGGCTCCGTTTGTGGCAGCCCATGTGGGAATACCAGCAGCCAGATATTCCTTGCTTTGCAACCCCTGTCAAACCTCAAAGAAGTGTTTTGAGAGCACAGAGGTCACAGCTCAAAGTAAACACAAATGCTGCTAACATATATGTGGGAAAAGGTAACGTTTCAAATTTCACTGAAGTTCAAAAGGTTTTTGGTTAATGTAAGTAACATAAATATATTGACCGGTCAAATTTTTTTTTTTTCCAATCTGTACTTACCGATGGACATACTCTTTCTTCCTTGAAATAATGTTAATATGAAATTTAAAAAGTGCTATGAAAATATTTTATTTCTGAAGGAACGTCAAGAGAGAATCTGGCATTTTTGTTTGAAGACTCCACTAGTGGTCGCAGCATGGAAGAAGAGAATCCACCAAATGCTCCACTGGCAAGGATGAGTGACATCTGCACGCTGTCAACAGCAGACTCTCAGACAGCCACAATGGAGGTCATTTGTGAGAACTGCAACACAGTTATCCCAGTCAAGGTCATTATTGCTAGCCTGCCCTTCTTTTTTTTTTTACTCAACTCACTTTAAAGTTAATGGTAAAGGAGATAATTAAGTAGATTGAGGGAGATTATTAAGTAGATGGACGCTGTAGGACATTGGTCTAATTAAGTAGATGGATGATGTAGGACATTGGTCTAATTAAGTAGATGGATGATGTAGGACATTGGTCTAATTAAGTAGATGGATGATGTAGGACATTGGTCTAATTAAGTAGATGGACGCTGTAGCACATTGGTCTAATTAAGTAGATGGATGATGTAGGACATTGGTCTAATTAAGTAGATGGACGCAGTAGGACATTGGTCTAATTAAGTAGATGGATGCTGTAGGACATTGGTCTAATTAAGTAGATGGACGCTGTAGGACATTGGTCTAATTAAGTAGATGGATGCTGTAGGACATTGGTCTAATTAAGTAGATGGACGCAGTAGGACATTGGTCTAATTAAGTAGATGGATGATGTAGGACATTGGTCTAATTAAGTAGATGGATGATGTAGGACATTGGTCTAATTAAGTAGATGGACGCTGTAGGACATTGGTCTAATTAAGTAGATGGATGATGTAGGACATTGGTCTAATTAAGTAGATGGACGCAGTAGGACATTGGTCTAATTAAGTAGATGGATGCTGTAGGACATTGGTCTAATTAAGTAGATGGACGCTGTAGGACATTGGTCTAATTAAGTAGATGGATGCTGTAGGACATTGGTCTAATTAAGTAGATGGACGCAGTAGGACATTGGTCTAATTAAGTAGATGGATGATGTAGGACATTGGTCTAATTAAGTAGATGGATGATGTAGGACATTGGTCTAATTAAGTAGATGGACGCTGTAGGACATTGGTCTAATTAAGTAGATGGATGATGTAGGACATTGGTCTAATTAAGTAGATGGACGCAGTAGGACATTGGTCTAATTAAGTAGATGGATGCTGTAGGACATTGGTCTAATTAAGTAGATGGACGCTGTAGGACATTGGTCTAATTAAGTAGATGGGCGCTGTAGGACATTGGTCTAATTAAGTAGATGTACACAGTAGGACATTGGTCTAATTAAGTAGATGGATGCTGTAGAACATTGGTTTAATTAAGTAGATGGACGCAGTAGGACATTGATCTAATTAAGTAGATGGAGGCAGTAGGACATTGGTCTAATTAAGTAGATGGACGCAGTAGGACACTGGTCTAATTAAGTAGATGGACGCTGTAGGACATTGGTCTAATTAAGTAGATGGACGCAGTAGGACACTGGTCTAATTAAGTAGATGGATGCTGTAGGACATTGGTCTAATTAAGTAGATGGATGCTGTAGGACATTGGTCTAATTAGGTAGATGTACGCAGTAGGACATTGGTCTAATTAAGTAGATGGACGATGTAGGACATTGGTCTAATTAAGTAGATGGATGATGTAGGACATTGGTCTAATTAAGTAGATGGACGCAGTAGGACATTGGTCTAATTAAGTAGATGGACGCAGTAGGACATTGGTCTAATTAAGTAGATGGAGGCAGTAGGACATTGGTCTCCAAAACTTAGGATTTCGCTTTCAACTTACTAAAAGAACTCACCATTACAACCAACATCCACTATTCCAATGAAAAATTATAAAGATTAGAGTTCATTGGATCACAAGCTTTTGCTTATTTGACAAATGTCTTTATGTTCCACATTGGTCCCCCATGTTTCAATAGTATGACAGCCATAAAACCCATGTTGTGGACCATGTTTCAATAGTAGGACAGCCATAAAACCCATGTTGTGGCATATGTTTCAATAGTATGACAGCCATAAAACCCATGTTGTGGACCATGTTTCAATAGTATGACAGCCATAAAACCCATGTTGTGGACCATGTTTCAATAGTAGGACAGCCATAAAACCCATGTTGTGGACCATGTTTCAATAGTAGGACAGCCATAAAACCCATGTTGTGGACCATGTTTCAATAGTAGGACAGCCATAAAACCCATGTTGTGGACCATGTTTCAATAGTAGGACAGCCATAAAACCCATGTTGTGGACCATGTTTCAATAGTAGGACAGCCATAAAACCCATGTTGTGGACCATGTTTCAATAGTAGGACAGCCATAAAACCCATGTTGTGGACCATGTTTCAATAGTAGGACAGCCATAAAACCCATGTTGTGGACCATGTTTCAATAGTAGGACAGCCATAAAACCCATGTTGTGGACCATGTTTCAATAGTAGGACAGCCATAAAACCCATGTTGTGGACCATGTTTCAATAGTAGGACAGCCATAAAACCCATGTTGTGGACCATGTTTCAATAGTAGGACAGCCATAAAACCCATGTTGTGGACCATGTTTCAATAGTAGGACAGCCATAAAACCCATGTTGTGGACCATGTTTCAATAGTAGGACAGCCATAAAACCCATGTTGTGGACCATGTTTCAATAGTAGGACAGCCATAAAACCCATGTTGTGGACCATGTTTCAATAGTAGGACAGCCATAAAACCCATGTTGTGGACCATGTTTCAATAGTATGACAGCCATAAAACCCATGTTGTGGACCATGTTTCAATAGTATGACAGCCATACAAAAGATGATTACTGACAAAAAGTAATATTTATTTTATATCATTTTTTTAAACAAAAATTTAATTCTTAAATTGTAATTATAAAACAAAATGCTTTTCTTATATCAATTTTTACTGATTATTCCAGAACAATGATGGTTGCCTGACTTGTCGCTGTGGACGGAAAGACACCCTGGTGGCCTTCCTGCCCGACTCTAACAACTACGCCTTCCTGAAGCTGACCTCTGCCGTTGACAAAGATTACGTCAAGCAGAAACTGGCTTCTGCTGTCACTAGTGGTACCAGAGCACCAGGAGCTCTTGACATACTAAGTGCCAGTTATTTGGATGTGGCAGTTCTCAGGTGGGCAAAAGCCATTGGTCTGTAGCTGTTGACGAAATTGGGAATGAACAATTTTAACTATCAACATTTTGGTATAACTCCAGCTAGGGATGATGAGTTTCTCCATTAAATTGTCTCATATAACAAGGCTGATTAATTGGTAATATGCCAGTTAGCTTATCAGTCCAACCCTAATTCTAATTACTGTGGATTTTGAGGTTCATATTTGGCTTGAAGTTTTACAACGTTTCTTCTTGAGTTTCATCTTAAAACAAAAGCGTGCACTATTATTATCAACCCGTGCTTGTCCATGGAACTGAGATCTGAATATTACAAAACATTTCAATAAAGAACATAAATTTCCACTCAGTTTTATGAAAGAAATATCTTTGAAACTTAAATGATGTTGTTTAATAATTTTTCTGCAGGTGTCTCTTTTGTCTTAGTTGGTCTGAAGATGGCATCTATTGGGCTTTAAGGTAAAGTTCATTTCTTTAAACATATTATCAATAAACTTTTTAAATAGCATATTCAATGTACATCAATTCTTTTACACCCATTTACACAATGTACTGAAACTAGAACCGGGCACTTACTTACTTACTTTCTTGTGCCAGGGGCATTGGTCATCTACAAGAATTATCCATTCATCTTGGTCCTGTGCTATACTTTTCAGTTGCTTCCCGTTGAATCCCATACTTAATGTGTCTGCCTCTAGCTTGCATCTCCATGTATTCCTTGGCCTTTCTCTCTTCTTTTTTTCCCTGTGGGTCCCATGTTAGGGATTGTCTGATGAGATTATCTTGGGGTTTACGAAGATTATGCCCTATCCACCTTTTCCTTATGATGTCTTCAGCAATGGGCTCCTGGTATGTCCTTTCCAGTAAGTCTTTGTTGGCTCATTCATGACTCTTACATTCTTATTGCCTTTGAAAGGAGGTCCTCTGCTTAGAGGCTTCCAATATAACTTGGCTTTGGCCGCAAGACATCGTAACTCTTCTTGGGGCTGACATGTTTTTTCTTTCCTTTTTCTTGTTGACATTGCTGTTAAAAAAAATTGTTTTTTTACATGTGAGGTGGCCGGCCTCACACCAGTCCTCCCCCTTTTTCAGCCAGGCTTATGACCGGCGATGGGAGAGTTAGAATTGGACAATCCATCCCATAATTAGCATGGAGCTCCAATACTGAATGAAATAAATTAGGTGGGAAAGGACTAAATTCAAAGACACAAATAACAAGTTGACCATAATTGATTTCCCAATGGCCAGAATCAGTAACTGAACTGAATGATTTTTCTAATTCATTAGATACATGCACCAACGGATGCTAGAAGTCTGCCATGAACTTACAAATATAGAAACTAAAGATCGAACCAGGAGCTGCTCCTTACCTATCCCTGACCTTAATATTTTGACTTCCCCGAGTAAACCTTCTACGCCCGCAGAGCCGCTCTCTGTGCCGTCCACTCCCACAGGAATTTCTCCCGACAATCAGAGCCCCACCATTAAACATGTTCCCGGTCTGGAAATGCGGCGTCCGGCAATGACGGCGTCTGGAGTATTCCCTATCCCAGAAATACGCAAGGAACCACCATTTAAGAAGATCAGAGTTGTGGAACTCAAACAGTTTTTTGATTCTGGGAAATCATTCCTCAGGAAAAAAGATGCACAAGATGATGGTAAGTTTTGAATTCACTTTATGTTAAGTAACATCTAGTGTAATTAATACAAAAATCTTTTTGCGCACTGAAGAGAAACAATTTTGATCAAGTGAATAAATTAAAAAATAATAAATGTTCATGAATGAAATACACTTTGTTTAGGTAAAGAGGATAGTCTGCATGACTCGGAAGGAGAATTCCACCGCCCAACATCTGCCATGGGAATCTTTAAAGACACGAAGGAACAAGAAGATAAGTTTGGATCATTAATGGCTGGGTAAGTGTGGAATTATTTCCTCTTGGTATGTGTCTTTAGGAGAGCCAGTTTTCTCTTGATTTGTTTCAGTGTTGGATGTAAAAGTGCTTTAGAATGGAATGATTTTAACTTTAACTGCACTGGAGAAAACTCAGATGTCCATTACCATCTTGACACAATACTTAACTCGATGTCCATGACCATCTTGACACAATACCAAACTCAGATGTCCATGACCATCTTGACACAATACCAAACTCAGATGTCCATGACCATCTTGACACAATACCAAACTCAGATGTCCATGACCATCTTGACATAATACTTAACTCAGATGTCCATGGCCATCTTGACACAATACCAAACTCAGATGTCCATGGCCATCTAGACATAATACTTAACTCAGATGTCCATGACCACTTTGACATAATACTTAACTCAGGTGTCCATGACCATCTTGACATAATACTTCACTCAGATGTCCATGACCATCTTGACACAATACCAAACTCAGATGTCCATGACCATCTTGACATAATACTTAACTCAGATGTCCATGACCATCTTGACACAATACCAAACTCAGATGTCCATGACCATCTTGACATAATACTTAACTCAGATGTCCATGCCCTTCTTGACACAATACCAAACTCAGATGTCCATGACCATCATGACATAATACTTAACTCAGATGGCCATGGCCTTCTTGACACAATACCAAACTCAGATGTCCATGACCATCTTGACATAATACTTAACTCAGATGGCCATGGCCTTCTTGACACAATACCAAACTCAGATGTCCATGACCATCTTGACATAATACTTAACTCAGATGGACATTGCCTTCTTGACACAATACCAAACTCAGATGTCCATGACCATCTTGACATAATACTTAACTCAGATGTCCATGACCATCTTGACACAATACCAAACTCAGATGTCCATGACCATCTTGACATAATACTTAACTCAGATGTCCATGACCATCTTGACACAATACCAAACTCAGATGGCCATGACCATCTTGACATAATACTTAACTCAGAAGGCCATGACCATCTTGGCATAATACTTAACTCAGATGGCCATGACCATCTTGACACAATACCAAACTCAGATGGCCATGACCATCTTGACATAATACTTAACTCAGAAGGCCATGACCATCTTGACACAATACCAAACTCAGATGGCCATGACCATCTTGACATAATACTTAACTCAGATGGCCATGACCATCTTGACATAATACTTAACTCAGATGGCCATGGCCTTCTTGACACAAAAAGCTTCAGTATACCAGAAACAAAATATCAATTTTTTTTCATTTCTCTATATAATTGACAGTGTATAAATATCTAAAACATCTCACTTTTTATGTTTCCAACAAGAACTACCTGTAGGAAAAGTCTCCCCACATTAAGTCAACATGACAAAGACTCCATGGGGAGCAGCAGCCAGTGCAGCGGACAGGACTCATCCACTTCTTCTCAGGCAGACCTCCAGGCTAAAATTCAAGCTCCTAACTTGGATAAAGAAGCCATACGCCGACCAATAATCCGTATTACTGAACACAGCCCAGAGACCAAAGGTATGGCCGGCGCCGGCAAATCAGGCATTAGCGGATCAAATGCTAATCTGCATGTGGCTGCTAGCTATGATGGTAGGCATGATTAGTTAACGACAAGACCACCAAAGAATTGAGTCACTTTGCTTTTCAATCTTAGAGGAAAACATAGTTTTTATAGATGAGTGTTGTTGATTGCATGACTTAAATGTCACTTAGTTAAGTAGTTTAAAGTCCTCAGCTCAGCGTTTGATCTGAGCCTTGGGAACAATTTAAGCTCAGTGTTAGATCCGAGTTCTAGCAACAATTTACTGTTAGGGACAGCCACTACAACAAGTAGTGTCTGTTGTATGATCATTATATTTAGTTCAACACTTTGAAAAGAAAGACACAGGAACAATATTAGTGAAAAACATTATTTTCAAAGCATTGAAATGGTTTTAATGATCATGGCATGAATAATTAAAATAAAAAAATAATGTCTAAGCCATGGTGAGATAGCGGCTATTAGTTCCTGCAATATTCATGTCTAAGCCATTGTAAGATAGCTGCTATTAGTTCCTGCTATATTCATGTCTAAGCCATGGTGAGATAGCAGCTAATAGTTCCTGCTATATTCATGTCTAAGGCATGGTGAGATAGCAGCTATTAGTTCCTGCTATATTCATGTCTAAGGCATGGTGAGATAGCAGCTAATAGTTCCTGCTATATTCATGTCTAAGGCATGGTGAGATAGCAGCTATTAGTTCCTGCTATATTCATGTCTAAGGCATGGTGAGATAGCAGCTATTAGTTCCTGCTATATTCATGTCTAAGGCATGGTGAGATAGCAGCTATTAGTTCCTGCTATATTCATGTCTAAGACATGGTGAGATAGCAGCTATTAGTTCCTGCTATATTCATGTCTAAGGCATGGTGAGATAGCAGCTATTAGTTCCTGCAATATTCATGTCTAAGCCATGGTGAGATAGCAGCTATTAGTTCCTGCTATATTCATGTCTAAGCCATGGTGAGATAGCAGCTATTAGTTCCTGCTATATTCATGTCTAAGGCATGGTGAGATAGCAGCTATTAGTTCCTGCTATATTCATGTCTAAGGCATGGTGAGATAGCAGTTATTAGTTCCTGCTATATTCATGTCTAAGGCATGGTGAGATAGCAGCTATTAGTTCCTGCTATATTCATGTCTAAGGCATGGTGAGATAGCTGCTATTAGTTCCTGCTATATTCATGTCTAAGGCATGGTGAGATAGCAGCTATTAGTTCCTGCAATATTCATGTCTAAGCCATGGTGAGATAGCAGCTATTAGTTCCTGCTATATTCATGTCTAAGCCATGGTGAGATAGCAGCTATTAGTTCCTGCTATATTCATGTCTAAGGCATGGTGAGATAGCAGCTATTAGTTCCTGCTATATTCATGTCTAAGGCATGGTGAGATAGCAGTTATTAGTTCCTGCTATATTCATGTCTAAGGCATGGTGAGATAGCAGCTATTAGTTCCTGCTATATTCATGTCTAAGGCATGGTGAGATAGCTGCTATTAGTTCCTGCTATATTCATGTCTAAGGCATGGTAAGATAGCTGCTATTAGTTCCTGCAATATTCATGTCTTAGCCATGGTAAGATAGCTGCTATTAGTTCCTGCAATATTCATTCACTGTTTTTTTCTTCTTTTCTAGTACATTTTGTATATGATAATACAGCACTGATTAAAATGAATTTCTCAACCGAGTCAAAATATATATAAAACAAAGTATATAAATATATAAATGTATATATATATAAAACAATGTATATAAAACAGCTAATTTGATCTTAATCTTTTAATGACGTTATAATCAGTGCTTAATATCTTATAAAAGAAAAATATTTATCTTTTATTTTTTTTATTTTAAACAATTTTAAGTAGATTGAATTTATTTAATTTTTTTTAGATTTTCTTATATAATATAACTGTATTTTAGCAGAGGAAATGCAAGGGTCTTCTAATTTTCCCCGAAGCTTTACCGATTCCAACATTGCCTACAAGCAAGACAGAGAGATTCAAGAGGTAGGACAAAGTACAAGTCACCTTTAAATTCGTTGGGGTGCCTACTTCATGATTTCTAGAATTTATGGCTTTATAAAACTCAAAGAGCACTTTACAACTTTCACATCTTATTGTCCTGTCTTTTGCTTCAAGCTTCAACACACCTTGTTCTATTTCATACAACATGCTGAGCATGTAACTAAAATTGATTTCTAAATAATTCTACGACACCACTGACCACACAACATACAGAACAAAGTACTAATTAATATGGGAAAAAGGTTTTATCCAATCAGAATATGTTACCAAGATCTTCCAGACAGCAGCAGGGGTGGAACCAAAAGAAATTCTATCCATGGTTGAGATTAGTTTAATCAACAAAGATTAGGAATATTTGTATTTAAACTGATTGCTTTTGTGTTGCTTGCACATCTCAGGTATCTGGGTCTAAGTACTACATCCAAACAAATGGCAACATAAACTACAAAGTTGTCCTCCGAGCTCTCCACTTTGTGGCCATGAATGAGCACACGCCCAGAATATGTGAGGTGCTGCTCAATTTACTCAACTGTCTCTTGGATCTGGACATCATCGAAACTAAACCGGTGACAATGGTGTCACCATCAGGATCTGGTACACCGGCCTCCGTGAAAACTGGCACTCCTGGTCAGAACAACTCATCTGCTGGGACACCTGAAGGTAGGCCATCAACTTGAATCTTCTTCTCAATATGAGGTAACATTTGATTATTCCACAATCTCTGTACTGAGGCTTGTGGTGAAAACAACATTACTTATAGATTGTAGGAGTGTTACATTCTTCCGTGGTTCATTGATAATTTTTTTAAATCTTAACTTTTTAAGTTCTCTTACTTTTCATATTTTCAATTTAGATGATTTCGCCCAATTCCATTTCACGAATAAATTAATATTTTCCCCAAAGATTTGTAATTCCATTAATTGAATAATTTATATTGCAAAGTTTCTATTAACTTCTATTATATTTAATGGAATTTGCCTTTTTCAACCTGAATGGCAGATTCTTTTGTTATTTGCTTTCAAAAATCTAATTGTTAGTTACAATTCAAATAATTGGGTGTTTCATCACTAATGTTAATACCCACCTGAACAATGCCACTGTGAACTCGACATCAGTCGAAAGCTTCAAGGCTGCCCTGGCATCAGATAGGAGCTGTTAGAATAGCAACATCATATCCCCAACCGTTGCAAAGATGCCAGTACATGGATGCAGCAATGAAACATAACCAGAACCAGAGTGTTTTTGGGAATGGCAGTGTGGTTGGCTACCAGAAATACACTTAAAATGCACTTAAAATTTGGGCAATTACTTTAAAACTTGTAATATATTTTTAAAAAAAATTCTTTTGTTGTAGGCTTTGATTCATCCCATACACCCAAAACTCCTGATGACGGACTTGGAATTAGAGCCAGGGATGAAGTGACTGCTCACAGTCTTGCAATGGATAGCTTATTCAGGTTAGTGACTGGCTGATGTCTTGCTATGGATCGCTTATTCAGATTAATGACTTCCTGATGTCCTGTCATTGATAGCTTATTTGGGTTAGTTACTGCTTGCAGCCTTGCCATGGACAGCTTTTTAAGCTTGACTTAATTTTTATAATGGACAAATTGTAGATACATTAAGTGTATGTGATTTTAACAGTTAATTCAATAACTGGAAAATTGGATTGTTATCTTTAATAAAGCACAGTATGTTGTAACTGCGACAATTTGATCATTAGTTTTTATAATAAAAACAAATTATGTTGTAGTTGATTCAACTTAAAGTTCTAATAATTCAACAACAAAAACTTGATTCAACTTAAAGTTCTAATAATTCAACAACAAAAACTTGATTCAACTTAAAGTTTTAATAATTCAACAACAAAAACTTGATTCAACTTAAAGTTTTAATAATTCAACAACAAAAACTTGATTCAACTTAAAGTTTTAATAATTCAACAACAAAAACTTGATTCAACTTAAAGTTTTAATAATTCAACAACAAAAACATTAAATTATTTTTGCTTCCAGTTTAGGTTTTAAATTATTCTTTTAAAAATTTGTTACATTTAAGCAGCATATGGACTTGATAACATCATACTTATTTATAGAAGTAGTTATTGCTTATCCATCTTTTCTTGACAGGATTTATAAAGCCTTGGGCTGCCCTCATGGCTGCGGTGATGGAGTTATGGGATCACAAGGTGACCACCTTCGAGTAAAGGGGCAGAACTGCCTGCAGCGTCTCCACAAAATCAACCCGTCAATGTTCCACAAGTTTCTTCGGGACACCGTGAAGAAGCGACCTCTTCAGGAAACGATCGATTTCTTGCATGCCTTCCTTGGATTTTGTTTTGATCCCACAGTATTATTGCAGTCTCCAATGTGTATGTAAAACTTTGAAAAAAGTATTTTTTGTTTCAAAATCTGTTCATCCTTATAAAGTGCAATTGGGTGTTGCTTAAATAATAATAATAATAATAATAATAAAGTTCATTTAAAAAACACGCTTCATCCCCAAAGGCTCAAAGCGCGTTACAAAGTCAACAAAAAACATATCTATAATTTACAACATTTAAAACAAACGCAACACTACAAAAACTAATTACAAGCATACAATCTCAAAGTCTTTCTAGCCATTTCAAATCTTTAATAATTAAATGCAAACTCCTAGCATTTGCTTATAAAGGTTCAATAATTAAATGCATGTTCCAGGCATATTCTTTACAAATTTTTATTCAGGCTCCTAAGAAAGAGAAATTAAAAACTTATTTTTTAATGCCTATGTTTTATTTAAGTCTTAATTAAATTAGTCTTTTTTGTTTCTGTTATCCATTTGCTTCTGAATTGCTTATAAAGGGGAAAGAGACTTGTTGATTCTAAGGTATTTTAACACTAGTTTATAGAGAGAAAATTCTTGGCAAACTACATTTGTTATGAATTTATAACTTAGGTACAAAAAAGTAAAACCGTATTAAACTTAAATTACTTTCTATGTTTAAGGGGATATTCCATTTTCAGCCCAGAAAAAGTCAGTGTCTCAAGAGAACATTCCACGAACAGGCTATGCCAACAACTTTGGCCACAGTGTTGGCGGGGAAGGCTATCGTGGGGTGGAGGGTGTGCTCATTGCTAATCTGGTGAAACCTCTGGTGACACGTTGTGTTGAGTGTGCGGGGGAACTCTATGGCAATGAAAATATTGTTAGTTGTATTTTTGTTATGTGCATGCTTTTTTGTGTTCACATCTTCAGTAAATTGAAGGTATTCAATTTTATTTAAAAGAGGATTTTAAACATACATTCTGTGAAACTATTTATTCTTAATGTAATTGGATTCCCCACTCAAATACTTACAATGACGTGGAAAAAGTTCATTTTTAAAAAAAAAGGTTAAAATCCAAATTCCTTCATTATGATTTAACAAAGGCAAATGATCATTATGAAATTAAATTAGAAATCCAAAGATGGCAAATACATCTTTTTTTAAGGTTTTTCAGAGAGGCAATTTGATTATGTAAACAAAATCAGTAGTCTTAAGACTTGTTGATCTTATCCTTTTATTTTTGAATAAGTTTCTCACTGTTGCTTTTTCAGAGCTTGTTCTGTGATGTCCGTCAGTTGATGGCCTACATCAAAGAGATTCACGGGGGAACCTTTCGCAGGGTTGCACTCAGTGGTTTGTTGGACGCCCTGCAGAAAGTCAACAGAGAAAGTGCTGAGAGGAAAAAGGAATTGACTATGAAAAAACAAGTTTCTCCCATCAGGTATTAAGTGAAAATTAACATTAATTCGAACATTGATATTAAAAGTTCATTTCAAGAAATACATAATTGTTTTGCATTATAAAATCTGACATTTGATAAAATCTAAAAGAAAAATTGATAATGTTTGTCAAATTCCTAGTTTTCAGCTGTTTAAAATAACAGACGTGAAAGACATTAGAAAGGTAGTTGACAATCCCCTGTAAATTACAACTACCAATTTGGGATAAAATTTAAAACAGAGTAGCTGCAGAGACCAAAACAAAGACAACTTTTAACATTATACAGTTATACTGGAAAGGGGGTTCCCATTATCACAAATGTAAACTTGCACCAGTGCATCAAAGCTACTTATTCCCCAGATATTAATGTCTCAGAGGCCTTGAAAGGACTGAAGAATTATTTAAAAAAGAAATCGATTTTAAAAAATCAATGGTCTTGAAAAGCTTTGATAAAATAAGTGTAACATTGAAGCTGCTTTTCAAGTTCTGCAAAACGTGCAATTTTTTTCCTAGGAGAACAACGTCCATCACATCAGAAAGTGGGGATGAGAAAGAAACACCAACTTCCACCAAGCATGTCAGTTTGCAGAATTCTGATGATCTAATGAGCCGGCGAAAGTCAAAGAAGTCTTTATTTAGATCTAAAATCACTAAGGTCAGATGTAAAACAATATTGATCATTTAAATGCACATTTCAAAAAGATAAATCCTTGGTGAACGGAACAATAAATTTATAACAAAAATATAAATATTCAATATTTTACCAGAATTATCGTCATTATGTTTTTTTCTTTGTAATTCAAGTAGTTTTGTTAAAAAGCTATGGATTCTGTTCTTTGCTTTTCTTTCATTATGTTTTTAGTAAATTTTTCTTATGTATTTTGGATTTAATTTTTCTTTGAATAACTTATTTGATTTTCTATTTTCAGAACTTTATGTTGTAATATTTTTTTGTGTTGGATTTTAGATTTAGATTCTAATCTTTTTCTTTGAAAAAAAATAAATTCTTAAATTCTTATTTTTAAATGCTAGACTATTCACTAGTTTTCTTAACATTTTCCTAACTTGCTGGCCAAGTAGGCAAGTTTAAGCCATATTTAAAAATCAGCTGCATAAAAATGAACACATGCTAACTTTCAACCAACTATTTGTTTTAGCTTGCCTGAAGTTTTACAGATTTTAAATTTCCTTTAAGAGCTAATTATTTGTAAGGACTACACAAGGCTAATCTTGCAATAGGTGTCGCTATATTTTAATTTTCAGTCTCTGATGTTCCAGTATGCTGCCAGTGACTCTGAAGTTGTAGATGAAATGCCAGGTGGGAAAAGTCCAAGGACAAGTATCTCTGCTGCTGAAGAAGACTCTCCGCAGTCCAGCTCGACTCCTCGCAGGAGGTTCAGCAAGTTCAATATTGGTGAGATCCTCTAATTATGTTACCGATTTCTCAAACATTTTTGGTAAAGAAATTAAAGCAAGACCCCCTAAAATAGCTCTGCTTGGCCAATCCTAGTCAGGTCTAACATGCCTCATTCAAATATAAACCCTTCATGTCAATCTAGCGACCATACCATATGATGTCACCCCAGCCCTCCTGTTCTAGAAACATCAAATACAGGGTGTAGAATTCAGATAAGCTTTTTTTTTCTTTCTTAAAAAATATTTTAAAATGACTATTAAAAAAAAAAAAGTAATCTATTGACTCAAGTAATCTACACAGTGTTAATTTGAAAAATTAAGACATGCACTAAGTTTGTAATCTGCTGTGACTAATAACATTAAAACAAAATATTAAGGTAAGGCCAGTTTATAAAAATAGCAAGAAGTAAAATATAATCATCATCAACTCAAATAATGAAGAAATTCTGGAAAAATTAAACACATTTTGTTACCCCTCTTAGGGTGGAGACGAGGGACAAAAAGTGACCACGAAGATGAGCAGAACTCTGACCCGCCGCCACTGGACAGACGAGAAAGTCGAAGTGAGGCTCAAGTCCATCGGACAGGTCCAGCTGGCCGAGGTCGCATGTCTTTCCGGGCAGCAAGTCAAGCCACTTTGACTTTTCTTAGTGCACGTAAAAGAATTGAAGATGGGATCAAAACTCTGGGGAAGAAAATGACACGTAAAGGAAGCTGTGATGGTAGAGACTCACATTTATTTGAGGAAAAAAAAAAGAACACAACAGAAGATTTTCTGTTGAAAAAAAACAACCAAACATCCAGTTTATTCTTGAAAACTTATACAGAAGAGTCAGAGTTGTAGACAGTTTTCTATCCATTGTAGCTAGTTTTTCCATCTCTAGCACTTTAGTTATCTTTGAATTTTTCCCCCCCTTTTTTTGGTTTTCCACCCCTTGTGATAGATGTTTTGTGTGTTTCTTTAAATAAAAACAAAAATCCAATGATGATTTGGAATGTTATTGTGGAAAGTAAAGAACAATTTTTGTGTGTTAAAAAGCTACTCAAAGGATTTCTCAGACTTTCTTTCATAAGATTTAAATGATAAATTATTATGGATGTTTACTGCACATACCCCTTGATTGTTAGTTTTGATGTACTTTTTAAATATTTTTAAAACACCCATTTTTGCCATTTTTAATTATTTTGTTTATGACTCGCAATAATATATCATTAAGTTTTTGCATGAGTGTGAAATTATTCAACTTAAAAAAACCTAAGTGGCTGCTTCTTTAAATCTGGTTGCATCACTCATGGTCTGTTATTTATTATGTATTTGTTGTTTTTTAGATTTCTACAAGCAGAGGTCTGGCCTGAAAAATGACAGTGGGGTTGAACTGGTGTTGGTTAAAGAGAAGAAAATGGTTGACAAGTACCTGATAAAATCTGGAATGTTAAGGTTCTCCTTTTTGCTAGAGTGTTGCCATCCTGGTTCTTTGCCTGACCCACAGCTTGTGGCTGCCATGTTGGATCTGGTTAGTAAGATGATTATCATAGCAGTAGTACTTATTCAATATGAGAAAGATTTGTTTAAAATTATTGAGCATCAAGATGACTGATTAAAAGATATAAATGTATTGGAAAATGTGTTTTCATTTAAATTGAATGATATCCGAAGTGGTTTAAAGTTGTTGTTTTTTAATCCACTTGATGGAGAATTTAAGTCCTAGCTTTGCGGTAATTCTCTGCAACATAATCTATCTGAAAATTGTAATCTAATATTTTATAGGAAGCCCCGGTCTCTGCAAGAGCAGCAATGCTGTTAGAATGCGCCCACTTCATACATCGGTGTAACAGAGGCGACTGGCCCAACTGGATGAAACTGAACCTTCCCAGTTTCCGACACACTGTGGCCGCTCTCCAGAACAGAGGTCAGCCTTCAGGCTACCGTAGAAACTTAATGTTACAACGGGCTGCTGGACGCATGTTCTACACTTGGGCTGAGGTATTTTGTTGTAAAGAAATTTCTATTAAGTTATACAGTAGTTTATGACAACACTTGGTAACTTATTATCAGTAACTTTAAGATTCTCGTTAGATAATTATTATGAAGGAAGTCGGATTAACTTAAACAAAGCATTCATTTACAGAATCTTGGCTTACAAATGGAATACATCCTGGCCAAAGAGCATGCAGACAGACTGGCTGTTATTGATGAAGTCAAAGATGAGAACAGAAAGAAAGAGTTGAGAATGGAGGATGAAGAGGAGGATTTCCTAGATGAAGGTGATCTTTGAATGGAGTAAAAGAACTACAAAGATTTAGTAGCTTTGAATAAAAGCTATCAAGACAGACTTGAAAAATTATAAATTATGTTGAAAAGAATTATTTGTTGACTCTGGGACAAAGGTCACATTCATTATGGGTTACTATTACAACTATTTTTTGGACAACATTTTGAAATTTTTGCCAGTGATGATTAAATAACAAGAACATCATCTAGGCCAGCGGTTCTCAACCTTCTTAATGCTGCGACCCTTTAATACAATTCCTCATGTTGTGATGACCCCCAACCATAAAATTATTTTCGTTACTACTTCATAAATATGTGTTTTCCTATGGTCTTAGGCGATCCCTGTGTAAGGATCGTTCGGCCCCAAAGGGGTCACGACCCACAGTTTGAGAACCGCTGATCTAGGCCATAACAAGAAAATGCTTTTACAATTCATTCTGCATTGATTATGAATGTTTTTTCTTCCATCTCTATCCTCAGCCTCTGTTAATCAGAAAGGCAAGGAGTGCCCGTACGCCTTGAAGATGCTGGCTTGCCTTGTCCTGGTTGAGATCACCACTTTTCTGAGAGAAACTTTCCAGTACCTGCCGAGGTCACGGAGCCAGAAGCGGGAACATCTTTGGGAGAAGAATGTCACGAGCCGTCGTTACAGCAGCATAGTCAGCAGTCCCGGTCACTCGGACAAAAGCTCAGAATCCAACCTGGCAGAACTACCCTCTGGCTTCAGTGAGTGTTGCTAAATCCCTTTTTTTCAAATTTTTACTAATGGCTTTGTTGTTGGCTATGTTCTTATAAAGCTATTTCAAATCTATTATGTAATTGTCTAGGAGGGAATTTATTGAAGTATTTTAACACAGTTTTTATTGAGCTAACCTGCAAGCATGAGAATTCATTTATTCTAACTAAATAAACCTGTCTGTCACTAGGTAACATTGGTAGTCCAGGGGATCGGAAGATCAGCTTCGCTGTGTTAACTGAGAGATCAGACTCTCTGCACAGTAGCACAACTTCTCTGTCTGCCCTGGATCCTAATGCTACTCCAGAAGAAAAGAAAGAAAGAGGTAATATTCAAAACAAAGATATTTAGTGCCCCGGGAGCAGTCTGTCCATCATGGCAGGGACCTAGGAAACCTGCAGGGGTACACAGCCACCTAACCTGCATCTCCACCTGGTTAACGTGGGGCAAACATTTTAGGGGCTAAGGTTTAGGTCTCCTAGGAAGCTTCCTCGTCCCCGTCTAGTTCTTGTGATTTGGTGTTTAACCAAGGGGCCAGAAGTGCCAAGGTGGGGGGTGGGGGGGGGGTCATAGAGATCCAATCTACCCATTTGGCGTTCCTGGGGTAGCCAGATGGTATGCCACTAGGGGAGGGAGGACTCAGGACTATGGATTCCCTTGGGGGGTGCGGGACGCACACGAGCTTCGGTTCGGGCTGCTGACGGCATTCCTTATGAACGATTTTCAGTGCAGAAAGAATTATGTGAGCTTTAATAAATATTGATATTAAAAAGCAATATTCAGTTCACTCGTTACATGTGCATATGTTACATGTGCATACGTTACATGTGCATACGTTACATGTGCATACGGTTACAAATTCATTGTGCTTTTTGGTTTCTTCTTTTATATCCATTCCATCAGTTTGTTAGGTAAAATATTTGAATTTTAATATGTATTAATGTAGTAAAAATTACTGTACAAATAATTGATATGGAATATTTGTGAGGTTTTTGTTTTGTTGCTATTCACGACACCCAGGGCTTTCCCTTTAATATCCCAGAAAAACAAGAGTATGCAATGAAATGTTGAAAATGTACCTGAGAAATAGACATTATTCACTGCAGTTTTTAGTCTCTTGCTTCTAGATTAGAGTCCCTGTCTTAAAGAGAAATATGCAGGTTGCAACTTTGGTTGACGCCATATATTATTTAACTATTTCCTATTTAATCCACTGTATTTCAGGTAGAAGATTAGCTCAAGGGAGACAAAAACTTTTACGGCATTTCCGTCGTGGGTCTGGTCACAACTCGAGCTTCAGGCGCAGTTTCAAGCTGACCAGACCAGATGGTGGCGGGGGAAGTATGTCCTTAAAAATTTGTTTCATTCTCTGTAATCTTAATTTTTAATAAATGTCTGATACATTAATTGAAGAGATGAATTAATTATAATTTACTTTCACTTAAATTAATTTAAACTCATCTTTTCAACCTGTTTGGTTTTCAAGATTTTATTGTATACATTTTAAATAGAATAATATAATTTTATTAATTTGAATTTTTTTAATGGCAAACCATGGCTTTTTTGTTGTTGTCTATTGAATGAAATATGAGCAGCGACAGCCATGTGGTATTTACACACTGTCCAATAGTTTCATTAATTTATGTGTTTTAAATAGTATTTTTGCTCACATGTAAAATTGTGCATTGTAAAAGCTTAAAGCTATTCCATTAGGCATTAAACGTGGTGGAAGTATCAAGTCTCGTAAGATCAGCAGCCATTCCCTCCAATCAGATGGCAAGTTTATGGAGGAGGAGGCCCCAACTGAAGACACTGAGTCTGTAGCCATGATGAGTGATGACACGCAGGAATCACCCATTGATAAAGAAATGGAGTTGGAAGATGAGCATTTGTACACAAATCTGCCTTGGATTAAGGTGGGTTAAATAAGGTGATCTGTACACAAATCTGCCTTGGATTAAGGGGGCGGGTTAAATTAGATGAGGATCTGTACACAAATCTGCCTTGGATTAAGGGGGAGCGGGTTAAATTAGATGAGGATCTGTACACAAATCTGCCTTGGATTAAGGGGGAGCGGGTTAAATTAGATGAGGATCTGTGCACAAATCTGCCTTGTATTGACGTGGGTTAAATTAGATGAGGATTTGTACACAAATCTGCCTTGGATTAAGGTAGGTTACATTAGATGAGGATTTTTACACAATTCTGCCTTGAATTGAGTTGGGCTAAATTAACTAATTTTTGAAATATTAATTTCTATTGTTATAATTTTAGGGATTATTAGCCATCCTACGGCTTAACCGTTTTTTTTTGGGGGGGATGGGGTTTAGGGTTAGGGGGAGTTGTTTTTTTTTCACTGGGTATGTGTATTATGAGAAAATACCTGGTGGGTCCAAGTGTTGCAGAAAATAAAACTTCTAATTTTATAATATAATTCTATAATATATGCAGGCCTTTAAATAATTGGCCCAAAGACAGTCCCACACCCTTCAAAAAATAGTCCTACAGACATTGATTAATATAATAGTCAGCTGTGAAAAAATTCAACTTTATTTTTTTAAAAATCACTCTGTACTATTAATATAAAACATGTTGAGTAGTGGGAGTGCAAATAATTTGTGTCTGATAAAGAAAACAACTAGATAATGAAGGCTTAATATTGTAAAGATTGTGTTGAAGCGGTGGGAATGACATAATAAGGACATGGTGTGTGCAGTCCTTTGAACAATAAAAGTAAAGAAAAAGTCTTTGTCGCAATTCAGGCTTTCACATGTATGTCCTTTATATTTCAATGAAGGCTCAACAGCTTGTATTAAAATTAAAGTTTTAAAGTGAAACATTGAGAATTAATTCTGAAGTCGAAATTTTAGCCGTTGTGGAAATAAAACATCACCCACTAATCATCATGTAATCAGTTAATTATTACAATATTCTTCATTAAAATAAAGATCTGTACATTTATATGTACAATATAATGTATTTCTGATGATTTTCGGAGACAATTGAAAAAAAAATAAATCATACTTTGAGGTGAAGAATATTTTATTTACACTGAAATTGTTCAGTTTGATTGATGAAATCTTCAAACATGTGTTTTGTCATTCCAGGTTGTTGTCCAGCTGGCCAATCTTTCAAACTTTATTTGTCCCCACCAAAACTACTGTCATCCCAACTGTTATGAACGTCAACGTCGGTCATGCTCTAGACTCACAGCTGCACTGCGCAAAATTTATGAATCAACGGAAGAAGATGAAAGGGATACAAATAAACAGACAGACAAGAAGGACACATTGAAGGAAAAACTGAAGAGAAGAGTGAGTCTCACATTGGTGCTTTATGCCTTGATAATACTTCGTATCTATGGCAATGAAAAAATTTCCTACACTTTTTTTTTTTACCCAGTGCTGAAATTTTACATAAGACCATATACAGAAATCATTGTATAAGACTCATTTCACAGGAATCAATATTTCAAGTAACATCTCCCACGACAAGACGAAGAGAGAGCACTCCTCTCCTGGAAAAGATTAAGACCGACGTGTCATTAACAAAACTCAAGCTGAGCACCAAGAAAGATGACAAGCCCAAAGAAGCCAAGGAAGATCCTCCTATCATCAAATACCTGACTTCACAGGTGAGTTAGCCTTTTTCATACCAATCGAGGAATCTTGATTTTTTAAAGAAAAGATAAACACAATTTTTAAAAGTAATTCTCTTGCAGAATCAATGAATTTTTCAGAGTTTAGAAATTAAAAAATAAAGAATGGCATTGACTAAGGTTAGTTTGTACACCAGGCTCAGAGACTAACACAGTGTCCAATGGCCATCCTGACCAAAGCCGCCCCTGTTTTGAATGTGGAACACTTTATTGACATCATGCCTGTGGCGTGGGAACTAATGCTGGAAAGTGACCAGGAGCTTGCTGCTGCAGCAGGTGAGATAAATTAATCTTCTTCTCAGCTGGCCCTACTGACATGACAACTGTAGCTAATCATGCTGTAATTAGCTGGTCTCACTGACAGGACAACTGTAGCTAATCATGCTTTACTCAGCGGGCCTAAACATTTGTGACATCCTATTTGAGCGTGTGGTGTTATGACTGAAGTCTCTATAAAAATGTCTGCAGCTTCTGTGTTCCTGCTTTCATCTGCCAAGTCCTCAGACAAGGCCAGGAATATGATCATCAAAGAGCTTCAACATGAAGAGACAAGCCAAAGGATCAATGCTGTGCTCAGGTGTGTTTATCATTTCCGGGCATTGGTAGTTTTAAGTTTAAAATATTGATTAAATCACAGATGGTAATGTTTTTCAGTTTTCTCCTGGTAAAAGCGGTTCCTCTTATTTGACTTGCTTTTTTTATTTTTATTATTTTTTTTTTTACATTTTTATTTTACACAAAGGTTAATGTTAAAAGTTATTGTTATTTCATGCACACATATCACCCTGCAGATTTGGCGCATTGTGGAAATTCCGCTACCAGGTGTGGCCGAGAATGGAAGAAGGAGCAAATATGTACTTTAAGGTTTGCTAAATAAGTATTATTTAGTTCATAAATAATAACAGACAAATCGTTGTTATAGGATTTGAGTAGGTTGTGCGTGTCAAAATGGCCTCCTCCACAATCGACCCAATTTTTCAATCTCTTTTCGACACCTTTACTCTACCAGATCAAACCGCCAATATCTTCAACCCAAACCTGTTACATTGATCTTTTTTTTTCTGCGAAGTGCCACATATTTATTCTAAGAAATGATTCAATGAAAATGAAATCTGTAATATTAAATTTGTTTCTTGTCTGCAGTTGCCACCGCCCAGCATTGACTTTACTTTGCCCTCACCAACTATTGGCCTCCCAAACTTGATAGTTGTGGACCCACCTTGGATGCCCCACTTCAAGACAAACATTGAAGAGGTGACAGTCAATCAAGAAGAAACTGTAAGTTTGTGAAAATGATTTTGCATTAAAAAAATTTCTTTGAATCTATTGTTGACCTCTGCTACAGTTCTACTTTGCTTTTAGAATAAAGCTTAATAAAAACTCTATATTTTATATAAAACTCCATATTTTATATAAAACTCAATATTCTATATAAAACTCTATATTCTGTATAAAACTATATTCTATATAAAACTGTATTTGTATAAAACTCTATATTCTATGTAAAACTCTTTGTTCTATATACAACTCTATGTTCTATAAAAAAAACCTCTATATTCCAAATCTAAATGATCACTAATTAAGTCATTATTGTCACTAAAGGAGCATTGATGGTTGATTTCTAAGCTAGAGAAATACCTAAGATGTCTTGTGTTTAAATTGTTATAAAGTAGAACCCGGTTATATCGACGGCCTAGAGGTTTGCCTAAAAGCATCGAGATAACCGATGATCGAGATAAATGAAAACCAATATGGTGACAATATATTAAAATTTGCTTGAAATTTCTTTATGTACATGATGTGCATTAATAAATGAGAGTGAGTCTACTACACTAAATAAAGCCTAAATTTTAGGCTATGCCTAATTTAATAATTTAAGTCAATAATTAATAGGCTATAGGGCCTAAGCCTATTATGTTTTAGGCCTAAACTAGGTCTAGGTTACTTTATATTAGATAAGACTGACTGAATTGACTGTATCCTGTATATGATTAGAATATTAATATTATAAATACTTTATTTGTGAGGTACTCATTTTAGTCTTAGTTTTAGGACAGCTTGTTTAGGCCCATATGTAGTAGACCTTCTTTCTATTAACGAATGTTATAAAAATTTAAGTTTTATTTTAAAAAAATAGATTTATAATATTAGGTACTTCACATAGCGGCGTGGGCAGATAGATTTTTCTGATGCCGGAAACAGAACATAAACCGGTGATCGGTCAATGCCGGTAGGTCACGGGGTCATATGAAGATCTATATTTTTGTCTACACAAGGGAGTGACAATGAACTTATTATAGTCTGTTTTGTGCACATGAGGATGATCATTACAACATAAACTTAGGGATTCTTTCACTCCAGTATTTTGAGAAACAAATAATTATTTTTAATTATGCAAAACTTGTTTATTTGTTGTTTGCTATTTTTTCGTGCGGAGTTCAAAAACCGGTGATCGGTCAGGGGATCGAGATAACCAATGTTAAGTGGCAAATTTGGCCGCCTTTTGTGCTTGAGATATCAGGGTTCGGCAACATAAAAGAATTGAAATAACCGAGGAGAAAATGCTAAGACAAAAGGGGATTTTGGCGGTTCCACTTCAAAAACGTTGACATAACAAGATTGGCGAGTTAACCGAGGTCAAGATGAGCGAGTTCGACTGTACTTGAAAAATGTAGTCTTGGTTAAAATATTATGTTTTCATTTATCTGCTGAAAATGAATATGTACAATGTAATAAAAAACATTTCCATTTATTTGGATCAATAAAGAATCTTATCTATCTTATATAAAACTATATGCTATATAAAACTCTGTATTCTTATTAAAATCTAAACTCTATTCTATATAAAATTATATTCTTTATTTAACTATAAACTATATAAAACAATTTATATCAAAATATCTCCCAGAAATCCCTAGTGACTGCAACCACCACAAGGCGTAAGCAGCAACAGGAGATGATTCGAAAAGCTCTTCTGGCAGAGGAGGAACGTAAGAGGGTAGGCAGGGAAAATTTCCCCATGACCACAGTTCCCATAACTCAGTTGGCCGCCTATGAACCTTCACTGCATCATGGAGATGAAGGACATGAGGAAGGTAAGAACTTTGATACTGCTAAACAATATTTTTAATGATATGTGGAAAGCTCATTATCTAAATAACAACATTGCACATTTTGACCTTCAACACAAACCCTTAGTTTGACATTGTTTAACAAAATACCTTGCTGTATATAATTGTAAGTTAATTTTGATCATTTTTTAGAAAGTCTATAGATTTTACCACTACAAGTCTAGGCTAACAGTAAAAATTAAACCTAGAATTCCTAAAAGCTGGACACAGGACAGGCACTCTTGGAGGAAATAAAGTAATCTGTTAAAAAGCACTAGCTAACTCCTAACATAATGGCACAACTAATTTATCACTGCTCTCTGGACAAAGTATCTGACACCAGGAGAATTAGCAGGTTTTCTTTGACTTGGCTTTAGCTGTAGCCTACTCTATTACACCAGAAACCATGTTTATCAATCTAACAATTTATTGTGTAGTTCATGCTCGATTAAAGCTACCGGCTAAAGAACTTTTCGGACGGGTAGAAAGAAGCTGATAAAAAAAAAAAACTTTATTATTTTTTTCTGTGTTCTTAATTTGTATAATTATTTCTGATTTTTTTTTTTTTTTTTTTTTTTTTTTCTTTTTTTTTTAAAAAAAAAAAATTTTTTTTTTTTTTTTTTGTTTTTATTTTTTATAATTTTTTTTTATTTTTTTTTTTTTTTTTTTTTTGCATCAGCATTTTTTACAGTAGAAGCTTCGGCTGAGAACATATTTTTGTAGCTATCATAATACTGAAGCAGTTTTTAACATTTTAAAAATTGTGTAAGTGTTAGCAGTCCAAAATTAGTAATTATATGGAAAAATCAGTGTTTTTCTTCATATCATAATCATAATTATGGCAACTCAGAATTTTGTTATATTTCTGTGTGTGTTTTTATTAGCTTTCAATCATTTTAAAGCAAAACAATGATAATGTATTGCATTCTCAGCACTTACGACGTGTCTACTGTGAAGCATTAGAGAATATTTTCACTGCATTTATTTAATTTTCTAAAATTGACACATAAATCTATCTGCAGTGTAGACATTATTTTCACATTGTTAGTGTTTCTGGCCTGTTAGATGAAGGATTATTTCACAATTGGGTTTTCCATTGACCTGGGACCTGGTGGACAGATAGCCGTTACAGATCTGTCGACCTGGTCTCTTAAAACAAATACAAATAAATCCAGGCCTTAACCACTGACTCAGAGATAGTCCCTGTCTACACTGTTTGTAAAGAATTACCCTCCCAAGATATACAACATCTTATTACTATATCCATTGTGCCATAGTTGTGAATATTGTGACCGCGCAAAGCTTACAAATTCTGCTGGCCCCTCAAATCTGTTGGACAGAACTTTGAACGAATGGAGTTTTTTGGATGAATTTTATTAAATGTGTATTTGCCATGCTTGTTGTGTTATTGAAAATAATTTCAATTATTTAAAAAAAACAAAAAAAACTAAAGCAGTGGGTAAAAAATGCATACCATTTTGCTAAATCTAAGAGAATTTAGGCAGGAACAAATTTTATAATAGATTTTAATTACTATTTTCTGGTAACACTTGAATAGGCTCCCTTGGCATAGAGTGGTGCTCCCTAAGCAAGGGATGCAATCAGATTTAATATTTTAAGAGCATTAAAAAACTTCTTGTGAAATAGGGAAATTTAATTGGACATTTAAAAGTAAGATAAGTTCCCATGGTATGCAAATGCAGTTAAAAATTATTATTTTTTCCTTAAGTGGTAGTTATTTACATAAGTTTGTAAAGAACCTATAACATTTTTTACATCAGTTTTTGATGAATGTCATCTGACATGGGGAACATGTTAGCAATAGTTTGCCAGGAGAATGTGAGCTGAGTGAGAGGCAAGTTCACCTATTGAAAAGTCCGACCTTTTTGAGGGGTTTTTTCATGTTATAGTTTAACATATTTGTTTTCTTCCTTTTTTTTTTTTATTTATTCCCCCACCCATTGTAACATGAAACAATTTGAATTTTTTTGTCATTTGTATCAAATCCTTGCTCCCTAAAATGTTTCAAACAAGGGATTGTCTCTGTTTAAATCATTAAAAAAATCCAACAATATCCACTAACAACAGATGTTCAATTATAAATAACACATACATCTGCACTGTTTTTGTTGTCCAGTTCATTTGTCAAGAGATAAAAGTTTCAAGCATTAAAACCTAACCTGTATCTACAACTGGATTATCAGCTTATGTACATTTTCTGACTGCAACTATGTTTATAATTTCACCTTACACAATTCATTATTCATACACCCCCAGTTGCCTTAATCCTCTTGTAACACCCACCTCTCCTGTGATGACTTGTGGTTTATTCTTTCATTAACCATTGAATGACAATTCACAGCGCGCACTGGTGCAAAGTGACATTCCTTGCACATAATAAAAGCAGACGCAATACCCTTTCAGAGCTGTGCAAGTATGTCTTTGCTTTAGTTATCTTGTACCAGCTTTATTGACTAGATAATGTTAATAAATTTAAAGACACTTTCAAATGCTGAAATGGTCAATCCCCTTTGAAAATAAATTTATATTTGATACAGTTATAGCAGACATTGAAACTCTGCCAAGTGCCTTTTCATCCCACTCTATATTCCTCTATATGTTACACTGTAACAAAAACTCACCTCCCTTCCTCCTCTTCCTCCCCTCCCAATATATAATCAACCATAAATTTATAAGCAACAAGACATACATGCTGCTCATGATCGGGCTGGTCGTCTAGCGTGTCCACATTTTTGTCACTTTTTGCCGGGGCGGGTTTCTCTTAGCTTGCGTAACTTGTGTGCCATTGTTTGCTTGTTTGGACACGTCTGACAGTTGTGCAGGAAGAGATGACACTGGCGGCACGACGTGTGTCATTGGCCCCAACCAATCGGGCAAATAATCAAAGCCGCAGCATGTCCTGGCGAAACGGCAGTCTGCATTGGGGTAGACTAGCCGCGGAAGGTAGTAAAAATTATGTTTTGTTATGCTCTGTTTTTAGATTTGGCTGGAGCTCGTTTTGTTCAGCTAGTTAGACTTGATACTTTAGCTGTTGTTTACAGTGAAGAGTACACTAGTAGTTAATTTTGAATAACAAAAGTTATGTCTAAGAAAAACAGATTTTAAGGTTTAAATTTTGTACAAAATGATAGTTCAGTCAGAGTCTTATTCTTGTAAATAAAGAATATAAACAGTTTTTTAAAGACAGCCATCATATGCTTCCACATTGGAAATTTTTTCTTTTTAACCAAAATAAATGTTTAAATGTTAACATATTTAAAATAATTATGATAACACCAGTTGTAAAACGTTGCTAATTTGAAAGAGAATAGTGTATGGATACTTGTTAAACTTATAAATATAAATTTTTCAAAAATTATTATATTTTTAAAATACTTTTTACTATTATTAAATCAATTTTCAATCATTTATGTTTTCATGTTATTGCACATCAAGAAATCAAAGCATTAAAAGCTCTATAGCACTTGCAGAAGTAAATTAAATTTGCAGAAGTAAATTAAATTTTAATTTTAAGTCATGGTTCATGAAGCAATTAAAGCATTTAATAACACTCGCATAATTGTAAATAATAATATTTTTATCAAAGTCATGGTTCATTATGCATGTTGCTTACCATCATAATAGTCTTGACTAACAAAAATTTATTTCAACCAAGAAAAGCATGATATTTATTCCATTATTTTGCTAGTTCCAAAACACAGCAGGAGTTACTAGATAATTTTGTTACACATTAAACATACACACCTAACATTTCTTCTCAGAATTGTATTAGCCTTAATTGAAATTTTTTTAAATGACAAGTGAACACCCTACTCCAAACTAGTGGTCGGCATCCTTTTGACATTAGTGTGCCAAAGTAAGACTTCTAATTCATTCAGTGTGCCAAAGTAAGACTTCTAATTCATTCAGTGTGCCAAAGTAAGACTTCTAATTCATTCAGTGTGTCAAAGTAAGACTTGTAATTCATTCAGCGTGCCAGTAATTAGTAAGTCTACCATTCAAGATGCAATTTTTAGACATTTATCATTTTCTTTTAGTCTTCCAAATCCCAATGAAAATCGGGCCATGCCCTAAGTATTTGCTGGTGCATTTTTTCAAGATAAGTATAGCTGTGATGGAACCATGATAATTACCTTAATGCGTAGCTTTATGAGCATGGTATGGGTATAGGCACTGGTTACTACACTCGATTCTTTTTCTGTAAATCAATCAGATAATCTCACAACACAAGTGGTACAATATTGTTATCCTAATCATCTTTATTTGTAACTCTGAGCCAAATTTAATCTTTTTTCTAGCAGTCCTAGAAAGCTGATATTTGGTCCACAGCTTTGTATTGGGGTTTGTTAAATGGGTCAAAGTTAGAAAATCCATTCATTTGTTTACCAACTATGGAGTTCAATTATTACCTATTTCGATGGATCAGGAATTGCAGGCAATTAACCAACTATATAATGTGTTCAAGCGTATGTATATATATTTTTACCCAGTGTTGTAAATCCCCTGTAATGAAGTCAGTAGGACATCAGGCTGGTGTGAAAGTGGTAGGGAGTTTGATCCTGGATCTATAAAAATGTTAAAAACATTTCTTAAATTTGTTTTTTGACTTAAAAATAAAACATCAAAAATAAAGTTTTGCTCCAAAATTGTCAATTTTCACCGCATTCTGTTTTACTGAGTCATTGAAATCTGTTTATCTTAAATTAATGTTTCTCTTAAAGTTTCTTGATTAAACATTTCCAATTTGAATTATATCTTTTTTTTATATACCAAAATAATAAATAAAATAAATTGAAACCAGAAAAAAATTATTCTTTATTTGGTCGTAATTTGGAGATTATATGTTTCCTTTGGGTAAGAAAGGCCTCAATTTTACATTAGACATCCCTGTTATGTTGCTTTTACCCTAACATATTTAGATATATTTAATGTGAAACACTGAAAGAATTGTTCTTTTTACCAGCTTTAAACCTGATAACTTATAGTCGGATGTTTTCACATGAACATCTTTGTCAGAACAAACATATACTTTTTCTATGACAGAGACATCTCCTCTAGGAAAGCAATACTATACAGTTCAATGCTTTTAACCAAAGCTACATAAAAACAGTTTGTAGATAACTTAGTTGTAGATACTATCAAGAGATTTGCACACAGTTTGAAGATAATATAGTTGTACCTGCCATAAAGAGATGTACTCATTCCCATGTTTCAATGTGTGCCTTTACTTTGACTCTGTTAATATTTTACGTTTTTAGCATACTCCGGAAATTTTTACAAATTAATTGCGTGGAAGGCAATGGCTTAGTTTGGAGACTGACATTTGAAAGCTGTAGAGATAAACAACACTTAAACCATCATTGAAAGCAATAGTGATTATACGAACAATAGTAAAGATATTTTGTGGAAATTATGACTTTTGAAAATGTAGAACTCAAATGTCATTGCAATTTCTGTATAATCGTTAAATATTACAATGTTCAAAACAATCCATTGTATGTCCCAGATATTCTTAAAAAAAGCAATTCAAAGTGGCTGGAAGAAAAACCAATGGATACATGTATCAATTATTTGAAGGTTTTCCAGGTTTCAGTTTATGCCAAGGTTTTGAATCAAATTTATGTTTTCAATAAGATTTTTTTTAAATGCTTAATTCTAAACTTTAGATTCAGATTAAAGTTCTTCCTTGGCAACCTTATGAAATAATGAATCATTAAGCTAACTGCTAGTCATGTATTCCCTGACTTTTATCATTCTTATGATACTTATATGTAACCCTACTGTGATAAGCCAACACTGATGACAGACTGCCATACTTAACAGGAGATGAGGATAGACCGGAGCACGGCCACCACCTGCAGACGGCTCAGTCAGTCTTCCCATCATGCATCTGTGCAGCTGTTCTGCCAGTTCTACACCTGCTGGATGACCATGATGTCAACGCAGATGGTGTTTCTGGTAACTTAATGTTGGCATTACTTATCTTAATGTGAAGAAGAAATCATTTGAATGGCATCAGAAAATGTTGGCAGTGAGAAAATTTAGAAATGAATTTGCATCACAATAGTACATTTGTTTGTGAAATCATTAAAAACAATTTATTTTCTTATAATTTAATTATAATGTATTTTGATAATTCTTTGGCCTCTGTTACATTGACTTTGATATTTGAATTTATTAAACTTTTAAAACGATTAGAAAATGATTGAGACTGATCACTGTGCATGTCTTTGTGAATTGTAGTTGCTGAAGTGGCCAACAAAGTCATATGGGACTGCATCGTTGATGATCCCATCCTCTTCCTTAGGCACTTCTTGGAAAAACTCACCATCAGGGACAGGCAGGTTTGTAAATTGATGAAGGCACTTTATTTTAAATCTTAAAAAAAAAAGATCGGTCTCATTCCTTCACTGTTAAAATAATTTACTATTGGGGAGTTCATTGTTAAAATAATTTACTATTGAGGAGTTCATTGTTAAAATAATTTACTATTGGGGAGTTCATTGTTAAAATAATTTACTATTGGGGAGTTCATTGTTAAAATAATTTACTATTGGGGAGTTCATTGTTAAAATAATTTACTATTGGGGAGTTCATTGTTAAAATAATTTACTATTGGGGAGTTCATTGTTAAAATAATTTACTATTGGGGAGTTCATTGTTAAAATAATTTACTATTGGGGAGTTCATTGTTAAAATAATTTACTATTGGGGAGTTCATTGTTAAAAGGTTTAAAAAATTTTTATAGATCAAAACAAACTGAGTCTCAAACTTTTAATATGAAACAAGCAAACATTTAAAGGAGAAAATTGAGATGTATCTTTGTAGGAGGAGCTAATTAATAAGATATATGTTTGAAGGATGAGCTAATTAATAAGATGTATGTTTGTAGGAGGAGCTAATTAATAAGATGTATGTTTGTAGGAGGAGCTAATTAATAAGATGTATGTTTGTAGGAGGAGCTAATTAATAAGATGTATGTTTGTAGGTGGAGCTTATTAATAAGATGTATGTTTGTAGGAGGAGCTAATTAATAAAATTTACGTTTGTAGGAGGAGCTGATGTTTCTGCTGCGTAAGCTGATCTTGTATTTTCCCCAAATGCCGGCCCAAGCAGCTCATTCTATCTTCAACTACTTGGTGAGTAACTTCATGTTTTACTCTGAGAAAGATAGTCATTATACGTAATATATTCATAATCTACCTATGTGTATAACCACAACACTGGACACAAAGAAGTACTGTCAGCTCCCACCACTTGCTGTTGAGAGCTTCTGGCCAACTCTACAAACAGTAATGTGAGTGAAGTCCTTAATAGACGTATGAGGCTAACCTCTAACAGCACACTTCTGGGGGAACTGTACATCAACCCTCTGAACTAAATGAGACCTAACTATACTGACCTCTCTCAACACGTCTCGAGAACTAAAATCAACTAAACTGTTGTCTTGCTCACAAACCGTATGACTTATATTCTTACAAACTTGTTTTTTATGATTTTTAAAAAAAAAACTAAAAAAACTTTGGACAGCAACAATCCTCCTGCCAAGTGTAATAAAGATGGTTTCAAAAATAAGCACAAAATCTTAACCACTATTAAAGAAAATATATTACGGACTGCTTGAAGTCAAGCAGTGTGAAGGAATTATTGGAAGAAGATATGATAAGGCTTACAATCAAAAGACAGGACATATCAAGCGTAAACATGTCTTGTCCCTATATTATCACTTTTGAGGGATTAAAATAACTCTTGTTAGTGTGTACTTGGTGTGAACATTAGAGGTATTATTGCGGCTGATTGTTTTGTCGTATCATTAAAAAAAATAAAAATATAATAGGAAAAGTCACAACTGTAAAGATTTTCTTTTTAAAAAGGAAAACAACTTATTTTCTTTAATATTCCTCTTTATTTTAGTTACATACCTAAGAAGAGACTCATGTAAAGGTTTTGTCCTGATAACTCCTTGTTTTAAATAAAAAACTAATTTCTCTTTTGCTAGATTGGTTACATAATGTTCTATGTGAGAACACCATGCGAAGGGGGTCAAGATGCTATCTCAGGAGCCCTCTCCCTTCTATGGCTTGTAAGTTCATGAATTCACCACAGAGCTGTTTATAAACTGTTCATGTTTAATATAGTTGAATTTTTGAGTTTTATGATTATGCCATATGTGTGTCATTTTATGTGGTATAATTTATTCTGTAATATAGTTTTGAATAGACTGGCATCTAAAGAAACAATTGTTTTTCAAAATGGCCTTTAGTTGCTCCACTATCCTAAAACTATCAAATTTATATTTCAGTGCATCCCCAGTGTTGAGGGGATTTATTTCAAGGACCTGAAGCAGACTCTGAAGAAAGAACAATGTGATGTGAGTTCATTTATTTATTTTAATTTCAATTTAATAATAATAAACAAAATAGCATATAATTTGAGTAGAAATAAGTTAGTGTTTTCTGATGCAGAGTTTAGGAACTTTTTTTAATATAGAGAAGAGTCAGAGTAACAAAACAGTCCTTAAACTTCAGACCCATAGAACCACACTTTCTCATTCCATTGAACAACAGTTTCTAAAAAGTGCAGTGATTAGGGGATTGAATGTAAATGCTGCTTGAACGTTAGATACAAGATGTGATTGTGATTTTTTTTCCACAAACATTTTTCAAAATTGATTTAATGATAATTTTAATAAAGTTATTATTTTGGTATGTACCCCACCCCCAAGAATAGAAAAATAACTTAAAAACTGGCATAATTTTTAATTTTTATTTCTATAATTTAATTACTTTTAAAAATGAAACTTGCGTGACACCCATAACTTTGGGAACAGAGCTGTAGAGAAACACAAAAGATGTCTGTATTAAACTCAAGTTCCAGGAAAGCTATCCCAGTTTTTTTAAAAACACCACTTATATTGAACATTTAAACCTTTTTCATATGTATCATCTGTTTATATCTTTCAGCCTTACCTGCTTGTGTCTGCTAGTGTGGCCAGTGCCAAGAAAATATTGGTTCATGGCCCAGACCTCTCAAGTATTCCTTCTCAGCTGCCAATCCATGAGGTACTAATAGACTAGATAATCATTTCTCGTTTCAATTTGCAAAGTGCTGAATCTCAGTATGTAATTCAAATCATGTTAACAATTATTCTATTATCACTTTCTTTGATAATTTAAAAAATGCATTCAAATTTTCCCTTATCATTATCAAGATTTTTCTATAGGTTAGTGCAGACATCAGTAAGACATTTTCAGAATATAAAATAGATACGTTATAGGAATTAAATTATTACTTTTATGGCTTTTCTTTCGATAGGGTTTCTTGATTTGGCTATGCATTTTTTATGCTGCTTAATGACATATATGTTAACATATTTTGAAGCATTTCAATGTGAGCTCAAGTTTATAGTTTATTGGAGATAATTGTTGCTTTTTTTTATTCCACACAGGATACCCAGTTCTATCAAATCTTACAAGAAAGTTTGGAGTTCTTCAACATACCAGAGGACCAACATGACTGCCATTTCTTGGTGGACACAAAAACTCGTACGTTTTCTTAGCGATATTATTTATGGATTAATTTTCAGTTTCATTTTGTTTCGTTTCTCATCAATTTTGTTTTCTAATTATTCATTCTGAAACTGTTAAATACTTCTATACTATTTAGCACTGGACTAAATGTTTTTAATGAGAAAAGGTAGAAAAACTATAAACTTCAGCCCTGTGGCGTAGCTAGGGTGGGTGTCACCCGGTGCCGTAAACTCATGGTGTCACCCGTAGCTAGGGTGGGTGTCACCCGGTGCTGTAAACTCATGGTGTCACCCGTAGCTAGGGTGGGTGTCACCCGGTGCCGTAAACTCATGGTGTCACCCGTAGCTAGGGTGGGTGTCACCCGGTGCTGTAAACTCATGGTGTCACCCGTAGCTGTAAACTCATGGTTCCCCCCCCCCTCCCCTTCCCCCTTCCCCAACTTCCACAGTTGATTTCTTCTTGTTAAAATAAGTCCACAGTGTAACAATGACAAGAACAAAAACATATTAATTGAAGGTCAGGAGGTAAGGAACGTAACATTAAGTTATAGTTATTTTTACATTAAATTTGCTTTATTTAAAACTTTCCTTTCCTGGTCTTCAAAGCTACAAACCTGTCAATAGAGCTCAAATTTTAATGGGCAGTGCTAGTGACGAATCGGCCAAAATATATTTAGTATTTCTGGGTTTAAATATATTTGGTTTCAAAACCATTTAAAAACAATTTTTAAATAAATTTAAATAAATTATTAAAAGATATTGCATTTTTTAAAATATTATTTTGTTAACCCTATTGTTACGCACTGACTTGTATTGGGAGAAATTAATCTCCTAATTTAAATTTATGGCTCGTTCAAACAGTGCCTAACAAAGGACGATACCATATAGAAATACAATAACACAAGTACAACACCCAAAACAGTACCAATTACAATTAATAAGATTTATTCAGTAGTAATACAATTATAAACAAAAGAAATATAATTACAAATCATCAACTTACAGAGTATGGTAGAACTGGTACTGGTACAATATTAGTACAATGTGCCAATGAATGAAGAATGTGAATAAAGACATATAATTACACAAAGAATAATACATGTCTCGTAAAGTTAATAAAACCTATCTGAATCTCCGTCTCTGAATCTCTCTCTCTGTGCCTGTCAATCCTTTATATATGTGGGTCTACCGACGCGTCTAGAAAACGCCTTTACTTTTCTAGAACAAATCGAGATCATTCTACAAAATACTAGGAGACAGTCTAACATGTTTAATCGGTAAACACGGTTGTAAACAAGATACATCAAACGAATAGGCCACGCCCACAACAAACGCTAACATCTGCTAGGGATCTAATTTGGGTCAAGCAAAATTCAAGCACGGGGAATGTATGCTACATAACACCTATAAATGGGTGAAAATTCATTTTTACATTTTTTAATTTTTACTGAAAAAGATTCATGTACTTAGAATCACCTGACCACATCGTATTTGGTGGTATCATTGGAAAGCTTTACTTCTCAGAATTTAGATAAATATAGCTTCCTGTCACCAAAGTTACCGAACAATTCATTCAGTGTTGAATCATGGTCAAAGCGGTGTTTTTCTGACCTTATTATAGGGTCACCTCATTTCTGACACATCAACATAGAACTTTTAATAAAGCACGCATTTGGATTGGTTACATATGAGGTAAACGTAAGTGTGATCGATTATCCTTTTATGAAATTCAATTAGACCGAGCAGTGTATGTATGCTCTGTAAATATGCAATTTTTCAATTTTGTGTCACCCCCTTGAGATGGTGTCACCCGATGTGGTCTGCGTCCCCTAGCTATGCCACTCCGGCCAAGTTAACTGTCTTATTTTATTTTATGGTAACATTAAAATGTGCATATCCGAAAGAATGCTTCAAAGAATAACAAATTTTGATGGATGTCTTCACAGACCAAATCCACAGTAACAATGCTTATGTCAGAGATTTCTACTTTTTCCGGAGAAATTTCTACCCCCAACTTAGTTTGGTACACATGAACCCAGAAGATGCAGCGTTGGCTCTGCAGAGAAGGGTAAGAAATTATTTGAATGAAAATTATGAGATAGACAGTTTTATGCATACTTCAAATACACAAATAGGTGTCAATCATAATTGTAATAGTTCAGTTATTTCTCATTCATTCTCTCTCTTCAACTCAAGCCTTTGGGCCTAGAAACATTTGACCTATTTAAAGAATATCTTATGGTTATTTGTGTTTGTCAGGCACTGGAACTGTTTTCTTTACAATTTTAGAGTTTGTTTTGTTGAAACCTGAAAGTGGAACTGATCGTCTCTGATTGACTCAACAGGTTTTCATGCTGAAGTTTGTGGAAGTGGGTAAAGTCTTGTTGACGCAAGCGGTGATGAAGAGCACGCCTCCTCACCAGGTGGGGCTATTTGAAAATAAAATCGCATTCCTTTAAAAAATTTTAATGTAAGTCTAACTCATTGGTTCCCAAAGTGTGTGCCGCCACGCCCTGAGGAGCCACAGCTTCCTCACAAGGGTGCCTTGTTATTTAAAAATGTTGATGATATATTTCCCTTTTCAAACAATGCATTACAATGAGACTTAATAATAGCTGTTTGCAAACACATCTACAAATGGCTACTTGTTTGCTCTGTGTTATCTTTTATATACAGCTTTTATTTATTATTGGATATTTGGAAAGACGATCTAAAATTTGACACAGGCCGCTAGGGAAAAACCTGGATTCAGCAAGGGCAAAAAAAATATTCCAAATTTGGGAACCATTGGGTTAAACAATATCAAGTTCAGCTTTTAAAAATAATATAACTTATTTTCTTTCAATATTTCTTTCATTGTATATATGTCTCTATATCTTCATTTACTTGGCATTGGTCATTTACTTGACATCATCTATAGTTTAGCATATAATCCTGTGTTTAAAAGCAATAGAATTTATTACTAAAAAATGTATTTTATGTGCTATCAAATATCTAAGCTGGATAGAATCCAGACATATAATCTTTGTCATCAGTTAACATGGAATAAAAAGCAAATGAATTTCTATTTGAACTTAATTTAAATATTTGTTTGTAATTAAATAATGCAATGAAAGCTGAGTCAGCAAATTTGAAAAAAAAAAAAAAAAAAAAAATTTTAAAAAAAAAAAATATCAGTTAACATGGAATAAAAAGAAAATGAATTTTTATTTGAACTTAATTTAAATATTTTTTTGTAATTAAATAATGAAATAAAAGCTGAGTCAGCAAATTTGAAAAAAAAAAAAAAAAAAAAATTTTGAAAATGAAAGATGGCATTTCTTTATTTGACCTTGACCTCTGGGCATATTGATATTTTATGGCACATGTTTTATTGGAAAGTTGGTAGCTAATTATTCATATAATCAAATCGTTCACCCTTTCTTTTAACCAATTACATTATCTTAAACATGATATCAATACGGTTTTATTTATTGTGTGATCTTGTACTGAGAGATTTTGGGCATTCGTTTTTATTATTTTCCAAGTTGTATAATAAAATTTATCAGAAGTTTGTTAAAATTCCATTTTAAAGTGATCATGGCTCAGGATATTTTTTTTTAATACAAAAAAAAGACAAAAACAATATATTTAAATAAAGTAATATATTTGATAAAATCAGAAACAGACCTGTTTACGCTTTACAATGTATGATATTGAGGTGTATAAATTATATGTACTGTATGTTTATTTTTTACTATTAAAATAATGCATTGAACGGTTTTGTGATGATATTGTACGATTTTAAGATTTGGAGGGTAAACAGATCTGCAGAAACATGTACTGAAACATTAGTGGGGGTTTTCTGTTGGTATAGGATACATACATGTTTAGAACCCATCAAATAAAGCATTGTCTATCCCTGCATAGTAGCTCCTGCTCATAATCAATCATCCTCTTCTTGGTTTGATTAACCAACTGCTTTTCTATATCTATTGAATCTAATCTTGCTTGGTATGGAGTATGGCTCATATCATCTGTCATTCTAGTTTTTTTTTAAAGCACTGCATCTATTAACAATATAATAGAGAAAAAAAAATCAATGTAATGTGAACAGCCCTGGTAGGCAACAACTATTTAGAAACACTTACCAACACTTTTAAATTTATGGATTTAATACCTGACATTTTCTCCTGTATATCATTTGATTAAAGTCACTCATGACTTATTTTCTCAAGACTTGGTTACATGCTTAGCTAGTGCAAGTTATAACTGACATTTCCATCAGTTTTGAATATTGTGACAGACACGATAAGTTATGAAATTTAACCAACACTTCTTTGCAGACAACTGTGCCAGGCAAGGAACACTGACTAGCTTTATTACATAACTTTATGTGGTAGAGCTCTTCTCAAGTAGAGCCCTTCTCACTTTAAACCCTGGGTAAATGGTTTTTGCTCTCTGGCAGACCGACATTAATATCTGCTGAAGCGTTACTGAGCAGGACGCTCTTGAACGGCCGCTCACGAAGAACAGCGTCCAGGACCCCGGTCCGACATATTCGTAACCGTTAAAGTCAAAACCAGGATCAAGGACCCCCCCACTGCTTAACAGTGGACGCGGATAGCCTGGCTTACGGAACCCCCCCATGCAACCGGGGGGCCGTCTGTTCAAATGGGCCCGGTTGTGAAACCGACCAGGCTGGGCAGAAGACTACTACGAGCAAGAAATCTTCCCGCCGCCACGGACATCCCGAGACTCCGAACATTGTCTATTTTGGGGCATGCGCCACAAAAACCAGCCTTTCTACCTTCCGTGGGACTTCGACTCTCTCCGTTAGCGACCGGGCACTAGTGCCCTGAGCGCAGGAACAAGCCGGCACAATGAGGCATAGAACACCGAGACACGACCCGGGCCCCACCCCACCGGCCAGGAACAGGGGGCAACGGCTCCGAGATGCCCGCGGGTCATCCCCCCGCGGCGCCAGGATCCCCCAGGATCTAGACTTTAGCCCATGGACGATTGCCACAATCTTTGCCGAAGACGAAACCACTTTCCACCACTGTTCACCATCTACGCAGGGTACGGCAAGCCGTATCGTGCCCTACTCCGGTGACTTCGTTGCTCCAAACTGTGCCTTTCCCACTTTGTCACTTCTTACAACGTGGCACAGATGGAAATCATCATATCCATAATTGAAGCTTTCAAGGGCGAGGGGAGCACCTCTCGCCCTTGACCCCGTTCTGTCCGCCTGCGCGTATTCGGTCTGGCCACACCGGGTCAGACCTTATTGAAGCGCATAACCGATGTCCGGGGGGAACGACCCCGGTCATCGGCCATCCCGTTAACCGCAACCTATGGAGACGTGGAATCCCGCTGGGGCCGCCGGGCGGGCCTCGTCTGGCCGGGGTCATCCCAGTTCTACATGAACAGGGACCCACTCCAGGCCCGATGATCCAACACCGCCAACAACAGCGGCAACTGCTGCTACCGGCCAGTTCACCAGACCGCGGCACCACGACTTCAAATCCCCCGATTGAGTCGCTTAGCTGCTGGCACCAGACTTGCCCTCTGGCAGTTACGTTTGCAAATATTCTTGAAGACTGGCCTTATTCTATCCATCAGTGGTCACCTAGCTGTGGGATATGATTAACTTGTTTCCAGGATTTTTTTTGCAGCCTGTGTCTAAACATGGTCATCTATCATCCTCCAGTCCATGTATGGGTAAATCTTTGTGTCTTTCATCTGGTGATTTTAAATCTAGGACATGATGGTCAACATTCTCAAAGTATTTTGCATTGAAAAATAAATCACTAGATTTAGCTAATGTTGTAATTTATGAAGTATGTCAAAAAGTTTGATCACTTACTTTCAGGAACTAGTTTTTTTTCACCCAATATTTTCACTGAAATTAGAAACTAGCTTTCAGTTTCATTTAATTTGGTCGCTTCATCTATGTAGCAATGTCAATGCTCTATTAAAAACCTGATAGCTTTTGCATATTTATTGAAATGGCTACTGTTAATTTTTGAAATTTGAATTGAAGCTGGTTTGAACTTAATGCCAGTATATACTAATTTACAAAACAACTTCTGGACTTTTGATAATAAGGGTAAAATGTCTTAAAAAAGCTAAATCTCATTTTTAGAACAAAAGTTACAGGAAGTTACATTACAAAATCTGTGTACTAAACAATTAATGATTCATTAATAATTAAATTTATTAATATTTAAAACAATTTTTAATAAATATTTTCCTGTATTTTCTGACTAATTGAACAAAATATATTTTTATTTAGTGAAACATTTTGTGCATTTATCTATTGACAAGTAATTCTAGTGCTATGTTAACAGTTGCCACTTGAATGAATTAAAATCTTAACTTAACTTTCAGTATAATGTGTCATTTCATGATAATTTAATGGCCAAGGGTATAGTCAATATGTCACATGATCTCTGAATGCTACTCTTCTATATAATGCTTGCTTGGCTTTGGCTATCATGTCTTGGTGTTGGTTTTTCCCTATCTAACTCTGCATGCCCTGTGTGACTGCTTCCTGGCCGGTCATTCTCATGACTGCTCCTCACTGGAAGTGGGTCACACAGGGTGCGGGGCTCAGCAGAGTTTATAACCATTTCAGATACAGAATCATGTGTCCTTTCTCCACGAAGAGCTGACCAAGCTGCCCTCTTTCCCCCGCAAGGCTTTGGAATCAGAATTTGACATGTATTCAGGCGTTTGGGGACAGGTTAGTGATTTTTTTTATATAAAAGTGTGGCGAGTTTCTTGAACTGGGGTCACACTTGAAATAAAAAAAGGAAGATAGAACAGTGACTCTCATACTATTCAGTGTCATTATAAGTAATAAGGTATACACAGCAGCAACAACCAGTCTCATTTTTTTTAATTACTATGGTAAAAATTCTTAAATTTGTTCCACCTTGAGTGGATTAGCCATTCATGTCTCACCCATTGGTCTACTGCACTAGAGAAATGAGAGGAAATAACATTGCGTGAACATCAATGGCTAAAAACAACAACAACATTTAGTGAACTTCATCAGTGGTTTAAACAGCAATATTATTTTATTAACTGTGGTTTGAAAGATTTTTCTCATAGACTTTGGATACCTTAGATTCTGCTTTCTGTTTCTATGGCTGGCCGACATCAGACAAAACTGTTCAAGTCTTACTCATAACTTAATAACACTTGCCAATAGATAATTTAAAATTACTGAAGACCAAGAATTTGTTTAATGCCACATATTTCATTTTGTTGGTGTCTGGTTTGGTTTAAAATGTTGCTACATGTCCAGTACTTGATTTTAGTTTGATGCCAGGAGATGGGAATAAGCCTAAAGTTTTTATTAGGAGCCAAATAATGGCTTAAACCAATCTATCAATCTAGAGTGTTGATAGGAGTGGTACTTTTGATAGACACAATGTGCTTGTGACTCACTGTGGTACTTTTGATAGACACAATGTGCTTGTGACTCACTGTGGTACTTTTGATAGACACAATGTGCTTGTGACTCACTGTGGTACTTTTGATAGACACAATGTGCTTGTGACTCACTGTGGTACTTTTGATAGACACAATGTGCTTGTGACTCACTGTGGTACTTTTGATAGACACAATGTGCTTGTGACTCACTGTGGTACTTTTGATAGACACAATGTGCTTGTGACTCACTGTGGTACTTTTGATAGACACAATGTGCTTGTGACTCACTGTGGTACTTTTGATAGACACAATGTGCTTGTGACTCACTGTGGTACTTTTGATAGACACAATGTGCTTGTGACTCACTGTGGTACTTTTGATAGACACAATGTGCTTGTGACTCACTGTGGTACTTTTGATAGACACAATGTGCTTGTGACTCACTGTGGTACTTTTGATAGACACAATGTGCTTGTGACTCACTGTGGTACTTTTGATAGACACAATGTGCTTGTGACTCACTGTGGTACTTTTGATAGACACAATGTGCTTGTGACTCACTGTGGTACTTTTGATAGACACAATGTGCTTGTGACTCACTGTGGTACTTTTGATAGACACAATGTGCTTGTGACTCACTGTGGTACTTTTGATAGACACAATGTGCTTGTGACTCACTGTGGTACTTTTGATAGACACAATGTGCTTGTGACTCACTGTGGTACTTTTGATAGACACAATGTGCTTGTGACTCACTGTGGTACTTTTGATAGACACAATGTGCTTGTGACTCACTGTGGTACTTTTGATAGACACAATGTGCTTGTGACTCGCTTCTAGAAATGAACTTAACAAATGTTTAACATCTAAGTATTTTAAAGTAAATCTGATGGACATTTAAAAGAGTTAACGTTATCCTAAAAATATTGGCAGAGTTTGGTTCAATGAATGCTCCCTATTAGGAATGACTTAAACAGACTTCATTAAGTTAGATTTTGTGGAACAGAACAAGAAAATAAATTAAAATTTTCCATTGTTGTTTTTTTTTGTTCCAGGAAATCTTTGGCATGGATTCACTACATAAATACTCCTGGGCTAAGGTGACTTGAGCTTTTCTCTTTGATGTTATAAACATTGGCTTGTGTGTCAGACAGAGTGGTAAACAAAGTTCAGTTGATATATAGCTCAAGAATATACCAAGTTTGAGAATTTATAAATAAATTGTTTTATAAATGCATAAATATTTAACAGTTTTAGAAATTCAGATGGGCATCACTCGATAGAGTAGAAGATATGAGGGCTTCTGTGCTAATCCCTTCAGATAGAGTAGAAGATATGAGGGTTTCTGTGCTAATCCCTTCAGATAGAGTAGAAGATATGAGGGCTTCTGTGCTAATCTGGGGATTTATGGGTTATCTAACCTTTGTAGTTAGAAAACAAGTTATTTCCCTGGTCAGAAGTCACCAACAATTTAGTCAGGAACTACACTGATATTGTAAGAGTTTCTACGACTATGATGTTATGAATTTAGATAAAATTTCATTATTATATAATGTATTTTCTCACTTGCCTTAAATCCATACTAGCAGAAATGATTTACTTAACATCTTTTTGTCTTATTCTTGTTTAAAAAACACCAAAATTGTTAAATAAACTCTCTAAATAAATATTTGAACCCTAATGAAATAGAGTTTTAACAAAAAATTTGTTTCTCAGACCTCTAGAACAAAATTATATTCTACTAAAGCAGTGGTTCTCAACCTTCCTAATGCCGCAACCCTTTAACAGAGCTCCTCATGTTGTGGCGACCCCCAGCCACAAATTATTTTAGTTTTTACTTCTTATAATATAGAGCATATGTGTTTTCAGTTGGTCTTGGGCGACCCCTGGAAAGGGTCGTGCGACCCCCAGGTTGAGAACTGCTGTAAAAAAGGAAGAAATGTGATTTCCTTGTATGGGAAATTTTGCTTGGATTTATATACGTTTTAATTTTTACCTTACCTGTGAGGAAAATTAGTTTCCCTTTTCATGATATTAAATCATGGAACTATTGAAGGCACATGCTATATTTTTTACCCCCCAAACACAGTTTAAAGGGAAAAATTCCTCTTATTTCATCAAGTCAGCCTGACATTGAACACACCTACTCAACAGCTGATGGCCTTTCTAATATTATTTGACAGACCCTAAATTTAATGGAATGATTCCAAATGTCTTAACATTTTGTATTTTTCAGATGTTTCTTTACATGAACTTTTTAATCCGCACAATTTAACAGTCTTTATTTTATTTGGACAATTATAAAAATATTGCTTTACTCTAGCAGATGTATCAAATCTCTTTACGAATGTTGACACCGGTTTCCTCCCTTTCTGTTAAGCACCACCATGTTTTTTATATAAATGTTTTTTTTGCCTTCTTCACCTCCACAATTTCTATACAGCTGATGAGGACGGTCTTCAGCTCCATGTCCAGCACCTTCACCTGGTCAAATGACCTTAACCTTTTCATCAATGTCCTCAACGGGACAATCGTCCTTCAGTTTGAGGACACTGCCATACTTCGATTCTGTTTAGCCACTCTTATCAACGCCTCTCGGCACTTTAAGCACATTTTTGCAACCAACGGGTGGGTCTTTGACATTAATGCATGGCACTTGCCTGTCGTGATGACCAAGACATTAAGGATATGGGCTTTGGTAGAATGTAGTTTGACACTCCCTTTGTGCATTGTTGTCTTTTGGTTGCAAAACATCAGCTGCTTCCAGTTTTATTTCTAGTTTTTTAAGGGGATATGGGATCAAACAACTTATTTTATTTTCATTTGAAGGCTATAAAGGATCAAATAACTTATTTTATTTTCATTTGAAGGCTATAAAGGATCAAATAACTTATTTTATTTTTATGTTAAGGGCATACAGGATCAAACAAATATTTTTTTTTTGTAAAGGGCATACAGGATCAGACAAAGAATTTAATTATAAAAAGCATGTGATTGATATGAACAGGGTTGTCAAACAAGTGACTATGGACTGCATGTGGCCCACCAAGCCTTTAACCGCAGCCCCGGTAGCCCCCATTGCTCACATAACAAATGTGTCATTAGATAATTCCTAACTGCAGCCCTGGTCGCCCCCATTGCACACATAACAAATGTGCCATTAGATAATTCCTAACTGCAGCCCCTGTAGGCCCAATCGCACACAAAATAAATAAATGTGCCTTTAAATAATTCCTAACTGCAGCCCCCATAGCCCCCATTGCACACAAAATAAATAAATGTGCCAATAGATAATTACTAACTGCAGCCCCTGTAGCCCCCATTGCACACAAAATAAATAAATGTGCCTTTAAATAATTCCTAACTGCTTATGTTTTAGGCTATAGATGTGAAGCTAAAAATAATGAATTCTTTTTCATTAAAATCATATTTTTATAATATATAACAAGATAATGCTATAGTCCCTTGGAACAACTGCATATTGTTTCTTATGCTGATAAGCCATTGAGCTAATATTATAAGCACATTTTTTACCTTTGTATTTGACTCCGGCTTTAGAACATTGCACGACATGGGAAGTGATTTTTTGCTGTAGCCTTAATTTCACTAACATAATAAATATCATTTGTTTATAAGGTTTATTTTCGTCTGCATTTTAAAATTATTAAAAAAACAAACTTTGTCATGTTTTTAGCTTGTTTTCAAAATGTTTTGTCAGCTTTAAGTAGGCATATAGTAGATTCATTTACCATCTGAAATTGATATTGTCACTATTAGATATTTTGTGTGTTCTTATGGGGAAAGAAATTAATGATTTTTGCAATATGGCTGATGATTTAAACCCCATCAAAGTCTAGTGTTTGGAATGTTATGACTTAAGGCATGTTTCTTTTAAAATAAAGCAAGGAATTTAAATATATGGACCTATATGTTTATCAATGAATATTTAAATCTTCATGAGCAGCTTAATGCCACTGCTCTGACTGAATGAATATTTAAATCTTCATGAGCAGCTCAATGCCACTGCTCTGACTGGCATCATCAATATAACTATGTTGTGGTTCATTATTTATTAACAATATTACTGTTGTAACGTTGTTGATGCTAGTTTAATAATTACATATTTTGAAAGTTAATGCTAGAGCTATTGGTCCGACTAATATTTATGCTATTTAACATCTACTTTGAAACTGCTGTCTTTCATTTCTGAACCAAAATAATTCCCTTTTATTTGCATGGCTACTTAATGTCAAAGTTATTTCCATTGTCATTTTTTTTGCTCTTCTTTTTTCATTGTTTGCATTTAATAGATAACATTAACCTAAGGAAATATTAAATGAAATATTAGAATTTAAAGTTCATCGGATGTTTTTAAAGTTTACCAAACACTTATTAATGTTAGTGTTATATATAAATTAAGCATGATTAAAGCACAAAATTCTCACACACCTCTTTATGCCTTTATTTCAAAGTTTTATTTGTCAAATTAAATACCCATTTTTTCCCCTCCCTGTCACTTATTAAAATATTCCAAACTTACTTTAAAATTGATTTATTTCTTTGCTTCAGCTTCCTGTACATCATGCCGACCTTACTGCGTGTGTACAGTAACAACCAGCCCAACCCTGTCCTGAGGAAGGTTATACACTTTGTGTGCAAGCAGTTCTACATCCTGCACCGTAAACCTTTCATCCTGCAAATGTTTGGCAGTGTGGCGCCCATTTTGGACATGACCTGTGCCGCAGGGGGTGTCAAAAACTGTACCAAGGTAAAACTACACATGAATCAAATTTTGTCTCAGTCAGTAAATTAATGTCTACTCAAATTACAGTCAAAATGTCTATAGTATGGGTCTGCTGAAATAACAATCAATGTCTATAGTATGGGTCGGCTGAAATAACAATCAATGTCTATAGTATGGGTCTGCTGAAGTGTGTGTTATCTCTAGGCTAGACCAAAAGTGTATCTTGTGATACACTTATTCCATCTCAAGCAATATTTCATAATAAGGAAAATCATGAAGACCATAAGTTTTAAATAATCATTTAATGATCAAATGTTCATTTTGATAGGTCCAGCCAAGCAATCTGTTCAACTTACGTGATGTAATGTTCATTTTGATAGGTCCAGCCTAGCAGTCTGTTCAACTTACTCCTAGCTTTAGAGAAAGACTGCCCTGACCACCTCTCTGTCCTTGACCTTGTTGTTGGGGAGAAGCCACTCAAGGCATTGGTAAAAAATGTTTACTTAAAATTAAAAATAAAAAAAGGATACTTGATATGTCACAGTAAAGATAATTCTGACAGTACATTACTTGTAATTGATATCCGGCATAATCCTAAAATTCTGACAGTACATTACTTGTAATTGATATCCGGCATAATCCTAAAATTCATTTAGTTGAGTTCAATATAGCAGTGACAATTTTTATTTTTTTAAAGAATATTTACATTTAACAATGTTGAATCGTAGGACTTCTGTTATGAGAACGACCCTGACACATTCAACATGATGGATGTGGTCAATATGTGTGTGACGGTCATCGCCTACTCTCCAGACTCCTTCCGTACTGGACAAATGCTGGTAACATTGAAACAATTTTCTTGTCAGTATTTATAATAAACAAAATAATCTTGGCACTTTGTTAATGGTAAAACCTAGTAACCTAATTATTTGATAAGAATTTGACCTAATTTGGAAGCCATTTCAGTACCTATAAAATAGCAAATATTCACCATTTCAACATAGGAAAAAAAAATTAGTTACCTTTCCATATTTGCAGTCTTCTTGAAGGTATTCCATTGATGGTTTAATACCAATAACAAGATTACATTTTAGGTTCTCTTGGGGTAAGTTTGTCTTAAGTATAACTTTTCAGATGGTAAATCTGCTCAATTTAGTTTTAACTCGATGGATGTCAAACTTTATGTTATTTCTCTTGCGTTCGCTCAGACTATATTGGACATGATGATCCCACGCTATTTGGAACATCTCAAAAAGGAGACTACAAAGAGAGACAACTCTGCGGCTGCCAGAGCAGAAGTGACCTCTATAATTAACTTAGCAGTGGCCATCAGAGCGCTTGTCACTTGCTGTGAATATTTTGCCAGGTAAATGGAGCAACGATGAACTTTTTTCAACTAGTAATTTAAGATGGAAATGTTTATAATTCCTTTCTAACCTAAAATTCTTTTTAAAACTTTAAAAATTTAAACTAGTTACATTTTCTGGCATGTCTGACGTGTTTGAAGTTTTTAAGTTACATAAATTAGTTTTGGTATTATTGATAAAAATATAAGGGAAACTTGCCAACTAAATGAACCTGTTTGTTACTTTTTGCACAGCCAACAATAAGGGAAGAGTTTGATGAGAATGAGAGTTGTGATCTCTTATCTACAAAATTTTGTTGAGAATGAGAGTTGTGATCACTTATATTACAAGAGTTTGATGAGAATGATTGTTGAGAGGCAGTTGGAGATAGCTTATTGTGATCACTTCTCTTCCAGGAGCATGAGCTTACCTCAGAGGTTCCTGGAAGTGGCCAGTGTTTCAGGTTCCAAACCCGTTCACAACCACAGTTTACACTCTCTGACAGTTGATGAGAGGGAGGACTCACATGCCAGGTTAGCACTGGAGATGCTTACATTTTATTTCATTTTACAAAGTCAGCTATTGATGATTTAAAGTTATTAAATTTCTTTTCTACACATGGGGAAGTAAGTCATTAAAATAACTATACATTCAGTTCGGACAATTTGTGTGTGTGGAGATTTTTACTTAACAACAACAAACACCCAAAGAATGCTTACGAATAACGAGCAATAGCTATCACCAACAGTTATCTATGCTCCAAGTTAAGTATTGTTCCTGATGGCTTCATGTGGGGATCTAACAACTTACAAACATTTTAAATCATACAACCAAACCATTAAAACAAACTTAAAGTTTAATGGGATATGCAATTTAAAATCTGATCTATAGTGAGTTTTTTTTTTTCCTTGTTGCGACTGGTTGCTCTAGAGTAGGTTATTCTATTCCTAGCCGCCATATGGAGGAAGGTCGCAGGAAAACTTATGGACATGAGCCTGATGACCTTGAGCTACGAGATGATTTCCGCAAACCTCGAGATTCCTTGCTTTCATTGGCTGCTGAGTTTTATACCAGGTGCCACAGTCGCTTGAAAGAGTTGCGTAAAATCCTTGCCGACCCAGGCTTCAGACCCCCAGAACTGTTTGACAACAAGGCTCACAATGTAAGCATGGCTTATATGTAACAATGTAATGAACTCTTATGTTATAAAGTAATTGATATTTTATGTAAACATAATTTAATTACAAATTCTAGACATTTGATGAAACATTTGTTTAGAAGCCGCACTATTACTTTTTGCTGATACTTATATAAGGCTAGTGAACTTTTCATGAATGTCTGACACAGTCAAAGTTTTAAGCTACATAAATTAGTTGTAACTATGTAGTTTTAAAGTTTAAATTTAGTCTTTTTCACATCGCACTTGGGTTATATGACGACTCCATTTCTTACAACTACGTCAAATGTTTTGTTTTAGATGGTTGATAAAGTATATGACATAAAGTATATGACACACTTTCTCCTATTATAATTCTACATGACACTTTTTGCGATGTTTTATTCAGAGTCAGATTTCATTTATTTCACTGCCATACGGGCCATTCTCTCTCTCTCTCTCTCTCCTCCCCCCCCCCCCAATTTTTTTCTCTCCACTCCTCAAACAGTCTTGTTAAAGGAACTTAGCCCTTCTCTTTATTTAAACTTTCTGTTGACTCCAAACTAGAAAAAGGATTAGTGTATTTGTACTTAATGTAAGTATTTCCTGTTTATTTTCCTGATTATGTATATCATAACAGAGTTTAGATTTAAGTGCAAAAATTGTCTCCAGCCACTTATGTGGATTTTACAAAAAGTACAATTGTACTTTCAGCGCCTGGCTGAAGTTGCACACACCCTGCTTAAATTGGCGCCCTATGATCCCCTCACAATGGCGTGCACTGGACTTCAGAGGTTTCTTTCATTTTATTGCTTGTCTTTTTTAAAAAAAAGTTTTGAAATGCCACAATTTGGGCTCGGAAATGTTGTTGACATAACAGTAATATTGAAAATATTTGTATTTATATATTAAATAATTTTTTTTTTTTAAACCGACATTTCGACAGATACATGCTTGAAATCTTGCCAAATACTGATTGGTCACATGAACTCATTAGGCCTGGGCTGAACCTTATCTTACGGAGACTGGACCGCCTCTTCACTAAGATATCTAAGAAATCAGCTTTGAGAGTAAGTGGATTTGCACCAGTGATTGTTGACAAAGTAGTTGAACACTTAAGATAGTCAAATAAGTTTGATGGTTTACAGCTACTTAAGATAGTCAAATAAGTTTGATGTTTTACAGCTACTTAAGATAGTCAAATAAGTTTTATGTTTTACAGCTACTTAAGACAGTCAAATAAGTTTGATGTTTTACAGCTACTTAAGATAGTCAAATAAGTTTGATGGTTTACAGCTACTTAAGACAGTCAAATAAGTTTGATGTTTTACAGCTACTTAAGATAGTCAAATAAGTTTGATGTTTTACAGCCACTTAAGATAGTCAAATAAGTTTGATGTTTTACAGCTACTTAAGATAGTCAAATAAGTTTGATGTTTTACAGCCACTTAAGATAGTCAAATAAGTTTGATGTTTTACAGCTACTTAAGATAGTCAAATAAGTTTGATGTTTTACAGCTACTTAAGACAGTCAAATAAGTTTGATGGTTTACAGCTACTTAAGATAGTCAAATAAGTTTGATGTTTTACAGCTACTTAAGATAGTCAAATAAGTTTGAGGTTTTACAGCTACTTAAGACAGTCAAATAAGTTTGATGTTTTACAGCTACTTAAGATAGTAAAATAAGTTTGATGTTTTACAGCCACTTGGACAAAATGATCCCCAATTATCCTTTTTAATCTTGTGGATGAATCACACCTTTTTCCATATAAAAATAAAACAATGTTGATGATCTATTTTCACAGAGACAACTTGACTGGGAAGCAGCTGCCAATATACTAAAAGGTAGATTTAACAAAAATTTTTTATTTCAGTGTGCAACTATTGCATTAGCAAGGCTCTGGCCAACTTATTTTATGACAACATTTAGGACATGTTAATATTAGCCATATTAAAGAAATTTAAGAGCAAACAATATATAGATAAATCCTCTCTGACAGGTGTTTACCAGACATTGAGAAAGTTTTCCTTTGTTGCCCTGCTGCCTCATCTGAAAGTAAGTAATCAAGGAACAAAGCTTAAGTAATCCTAACAAATTATTATTGTTGGTTTTATCATAAAACAACTCAGCTTCATTTTATGACTGCAACTGGCCTTTATTTATCTAAAAAAATATTATTTAAAAAACAAATTATGAAATCACAGCATATCCATAGCTAGAAAATATCCTAGATTCCAAGTTTGTGTACAGTAAGACACTTCTTGTCTTTCCCTCAGACCCTGGTCAATATCCTGATAACTATCCTGCTGACCAGCACCGGCTCAAGCTCACTGCTACCCGAGTCTCTGACGTTCCCAGCTGGCAGTCACCGCAGTGAACCCAGCTCCTTACAAACAGATGCTAGTCCACTGTTTGTCTCATCTGTGGTCAAACTGGTTGCTATGCAGATGCAGGCTCTAGGGGTGAGTGAATGCAGGCTCTGAGGGTGGGTCAATGCAGCCTCTGGGGGTGGGTCAATGCAGGCTCTGGGGGTGGGTCAATGCAGGCTCTAGGGGGGGGGTGAATGCAGGCTCGAGGGTAGTGCAGGCTCTAAAGGTGGGTCAATGCAGGCTCTGGGGGTGGGTCAATGCAGGCTCTGGGGGTGGGTCAATGCAGGCTCTGGGGGTGGGTCAATGCAGGCTCTGGGGGTGGGTCAATGCAGGCTCTAAGGGTGGGTCAATATTTTACTCATTGCAGAGGTTTGTAGAGCTTGGGCAGCCATCCTCAACTTCTAGCACTTGCACTTATTAAGGAAAGAAGATGAACGTTATTTGATTTATTCATGAACAAGCATGTGGTTCTTTCAAGGATAGCAGTAAACTTGAACAGTGAGGTTGTGAGGTGCAATGAACAACCATCATACAGCATCAGGCAGTATGCACCACCAGTATGAGGATTTATTTGGGGGCAAGTTGTGGGAGGGTTGACTAGGTGCAATGCAGGAGTGGTTTTTGTACCAGAAGGTTTTTAAAGACTTTGACATGCATTGCCTGCTCCTTGATGTAGAGGTTATCAGTAAACAAATGACAGATTTCATTTGTGTAAGGTGCCTCGTATACAGCTTGAGAACATTAACTGTCCAATTATTTAAATTATATTTTGTCTTTGAAAAGATAAGATGTTTTATTTAGAAAAACTGAAATGATAAAATATTAAATTTGTTTTAAAACTGAATTTTTCAACTAAAGACTGAAAGAAATGTTGCTAGGATTCAACGGCAATCTTGTGTATTCATGTAAACATTGGATGCTATTTGAAATTGTATCATTGCTGAATGATTTCAATAACTTATTGACTGAATAGGATCAGTATTCATTGGAGCAAATCTGTGGAGGTGTGTCAGCGTTCTCAGCCAATGAGAAGTCTCTGAACCTGCTGATCAACTTCATCCTACCACTTTGCATCAGAGTAGGATCTCACTGTAGAGGTATGTCTCTCTGTCATTTTGTTAACCATTGACTTGACCATTTGTGACCATTGCTTGTTGTTAACCAGGTTGACTTGACCATTTGTGACCATTGCTTATTGTTAACCAGGATGACTTGACCATTTGTGACCTTTGCTTATTGTTAATAAGATTGGCTTGACCATTTATGACCATTGTTTATTGTTAACCAGGATTACTTGACCATTTGTGACCATTGCTTATTGTTAACTGGATGACTTGACCATTTGTGATTATTGCTTAACAAAATTTCACCAATTGAAGCAAACATTAAAATTATTGAAATAAGTTTACTTTGCTAGCAAATTAAATTTAAAAGTATAAAAATATCTTACAACTTATGGAAAAAAATTTAATGTTTGCCAAATTGTCTTTTTAATAAACTATTTGACAGATACACCACGTCTCAGCCATGCCGACATCACTTTTGTGTTGACTGTAATCACCAATCTGCTGAGCTCATCTGTGTCCAGCCACTCCAACCAAAACACTGTCAACAAATCCAACTACCTTTCTATTGGAGAGTATGGCAGGTGTGGGAGTGTCTCGCATGCTGACAAAGTCACTAAATACGCATCAGAACTGCATCACTACACGGCTTTGGTTGGTAAGTTCATTCAGAACTACATGTGCTAGATGGAAAGTTAATTCAGAACTAGATATTGCTAAGTTAAGAACTAAATCACTACACTGCTTTTATTGGTTGGTTAAAATTCAAACAAAATAGTTATAATATAAATGCTGTAGTGAATTATGTGTGGTTATGTGTACACTATGTGATTATGTGTACACTATGTGATTATGTGTACACTATGCTTTGTATTATTTAAAATGGGGATACGTTTATTTTTCTACTTGGGAATTTCTCATGAGCTTCATAAAATTAAATATTACTGGAATGACGTTCTAAAAAGTCTGTATGTGTCTTCTCATATTTTATGATTGAAGAACTGTCTGAAATGTCTTGGCCAAATTAATCAGAAACAGATGTTTTCATTCTTTAGAATTTTTCTTAATTTAGCTTTTTATAAAGGAGTGGTTAAAAAAATGTATGTTTAAATTTTTTGTTTGTTCATCTTCTGAACCCAACTTTTTATCTGCAGGACTTGAGATCATGATGGTTTGTTTTGATAAGCAGTTGTCATCCCACTGGCATCAGGTGGCTAAAACAATTATGTCTCTGGCCTCTAAAGGCAAAGGTTGGTCTGATGTTTTAACTTTAGAGCAGTCGGCCTGGCCAGAAGAGCTTAGGGGTGGATCCCACTTGCTTGGTGGTAACAGCCGGCCAAAGACATTTGCTAGATCATTAGAGACCTGGTTGAGCTTAGGATAATTTGCTTAACCCAACTCAGGCTTTGATGTACTGTCCTAGGACATATGCTTTGGTGCACTGTCCAAGGGGAACATGATGTGGTGCAATGTCCAAGGTCACATGCTGTGGTGCACTGTCCAAGGTCGCATGCTGTGGTGCAGTGTCCAAGGTCACATGCTGTGGTGCACTGTCCAAGATCACATGCTGTGGTGTACTGTCCAAGGTCACATGCTGTGGTGCACTGTCCAAGGTCACATGCTGTGGTGCACTGTCCAAGGTCATATGCTGTGATGCACTAAGGGGCACATGCTGTGATGCACTGTCCAAGGTGACATGCTGTGATGCACTGTCTGAAGGGCACATGCTGTGATGCACTGTCCAAGGTGACATGCTGTGATGCACTGTCCAAGGTGGCATGCTGTGATGCACTGTCCAAGGGGCACATGCTGTGATGCACTGTCCAAGGTGACATGCTGTGATGCAATGTCCAAGGGGCACATGCTGTGATGAACTGTCCAAGGGGACATGCTGTGTCATGCTGTGATGCGCTGTCCAAGGTGACATGCTGTGATGCACTGTCCAAGGTGGCATGCTGTGATGCACTGTCTAAGGGGCACATGCTGTGATGCACTGTCCAAGGTGACATGCTGTGATGCACTGTCTAAGGGGCACATGCTGTGATGAACTGTCCAAGGTGACATGCTGTGATGCACTGTCCAAGGTGACATGCTGTGATGCACTGTCCAAGGTGGCATGCTGTGATGCACTGTCTAAGGGGCACATACTGTGATGCACTGTCCAAGGAGACATGCTGTGATGCACTGTCTAAGGGGCACATGCTGTGATGCACTGTCCAAGATTGCATGCTGTGATGCAATGTCTAAGGGGCACATGCTGTGATGCACTGTCCAAGGTGGCATGCTGTGATGCAATGTCTAAGGGGCACATGCTGTGATGCACTGTCCAAGGTGACATGCTGTGATGCACTGTCTAAGGGGCACATGCTGTGATCCACTGTCCAAGGTGGCATGCATTGATGCACTGTGTAAGGGGCACATGCTGTGATGCAATGTCTAAGGGGCACATGCTGTGATGCACTGTCCAAGGTGGCATGCTGTGATGCACTGTCCAGGGTGACATGCTGTGATGCACCACTGTCCAAGGTGGCATGCTGTGATGCACTGTCCAAGGGTACAAGCTGAATTCTTCAGTTATGCTAGCTAGTGGAGCCAGCGCGTTTCAAAATATTTTTAAAGTAAAAGAACAGCCATAATTTCTTGAAAATATTTAAATCATTTTGTTTTTAAAAAAATCATCTACGAAGGTATCTAAGATTTTGAATTTATTTTCCGAAAGATGGAGGAAAAAATTAATGAACCCTAAAGCTGTTATTGTTATTGAAATAAGAAAACACCTTTTTTTTCTGGAAAATGAACCTATGATTTTAATTTCTAATAGTGGATCTACCGTTATGGAAATTCTTAGACTTCCTAGTAACACATCGGCCATCATTGTTTATTCTGCTGCAGACTTTCATTCAGTTCAGGGTAAGAGATTTTATAACTTGATGTCGTCATGTATAAATCACAAGAATCTGCACCTATGTTTTGCAGCAGATTATTATTATTATTATTATTATTAGTGTGTGGTTTTATATAGCACGGTACCCCAGCCCAGGGCTGGGCTCACCACGCTGTACATAAAATTTAACAAACATAATCATGAACTTAAAAATTAGCATACGTTAATTAAATAAAACAAAACAAATGTATATTCACTCCAGACATTCCAGAAGTATTTACAACCTTCTTCAGTAGTCTCATTAATGAAATAGCGAAATGAGGTATGTGGAAGCTTGAAATAAGATAACAGGACAAAAAAACAATGACGTTTCTGGCATAAAGCCTTCCTCAGCCAACAATAGAAATGAAAATATAAGAAAGAAAAGAGCACATTTGACAACTCAAGCAGTATCCATTTGTGTCTCCGGAAGTGGGAACACAGGAAGCGAGAGAATATAAATATTGACACAGCAGTCTCAATAATTTTGTCCAGCATCTAATTGTTTAAAAAATTGTCTCATTAAAATGATAATGCTTTTGAAGTATGATTCTTAGTTCACTCTGAATTAACATTGTATTCTAACTTGAATCTTCCAATGTTAACATTGTATACCCAACTTAACTTAATCTTCCAATGTTAAAATTGCATTCCCAACTTAATCTTCCAATGTTAACATTGTATTTTAACATAAATCTTCCTATGTTAACATTATATTCTAACTTGAATCTTTAATAACAGTGTAGTCCAACTTGAATTTTTCAATGTTAACATTGGAAGATTAATTGAATTTTCTAATGTTGACATTGTACTCTTAATTGGATTTTCCAATTTTAACATTGTACTCTTAATTGAATTTTCTAATGTTAACATTGTACTCCCAACTTGAATCTACCAATGTTAACATTGTATTCTAACTTAAATCTTCCAACTCAGATGATGCGTATTAACTGTGACACAGCCCAAGAGTATTACCTCCAGCAGACCATCAAAGACAAGCTGCAAGGCTACACATTCTCCTACCACAAGCCTGCGTCTGCCATCCTTGTCAACCTGGCCATTGAGCTGAGACAACTGAGAGACGAACTAGCTAACAGTTCAGGAGGTTTTTTATTTCTTCATCCCTTTTTGGTTGACTTTTAGGAGCTTTCACGATTTGTTTTGGTCGTTTGTTTAGGCCACCATTTTGTTCATTTAATGCACAGAAAGAAGTAGGCCATTTAGTCCTTAGCGTTCTAATTCCTAGTAAATAGAGTTCAAAACATTTCAAGATGTTAAAGAGCATGTTAATTGCAGGTTAATTTGTAAATATCAACATTCTTTTCAAAATTTGAGAATTGAATCATACACAAAAATAACCAATAATTTAATACTTCAAAGAATGTTTTCTTTTTTTATTTTTGTTTTGCCATATTTTTTGTTTACTCAATTTATCTTTTAGATCGCTATTTAGTTTTTATCACTTATATAGGAATGTACATTTAATAGTGTATACAAATATTTTATTATTACAGAAACATGGTAGCTAGACTTAAGATTTAAATTTTTCTCTCAAAGATAACTGAAAAACTAAATATTCTTTGTTTTAAGCTCAAAATTTGAAGTCATTTATTGTAGCATTCAATTGAAATTCTTCTATTTATAATGAAGGGTCAAAAGTTTTTCATGGAGAAAAAATCTACTGTTTAATCTTAAATAGAAATGTAGCGTTACTAAACGTTTTAAAAAGCCCAGCTTGTCATAGTGTGTTATGTTAGATGAACCTCATCAGGAGACATGTTTGTTTCCAGCCTATAGGTCCAGAGCTGCAACCTTTGCCACAGAGCACTCAGACTACTCTCAAACCCAACTGCCAGACAGGCTTCCAAATGCCAGCATGACAGAAATAGCAGCAGAAATTATTGGCCCAACAAAAGCTAGTCACGGATCTCTCATAAAGCGATCCAGCAAGGGTCAGTGGGGCACACAATTATGTTTACTTTGCCAAAACTGGTGTCCTGTATCTTTAATGAACTGTATTTAAATAAATTTGCTTTGATAAAATTAATATAGGCTAGTTAGTTATTTGATACAATTATGATTAATTTGATACAATTATGATTATCATTTCTTTTCTAAATTTCCGAAACTAATTAACTTTTAAAGTTGAAGCCAAGTTTCCTGTTTGGTGAAATAAGAAAAATAGATTTATCATGCTAAAGAAATAGATTTATCATACTAAACAAATAGATTTATCATATTAAATTTTTTTGTTCTCCCTTATCTTTTCATGTTTTAAGACAAAGGAAATCTGGAAAGATTGAACTAAAACTATTATCCAGTTTCAAGTAGTTTGTTTTAATTTCAGCCACTCTCCTGTCACAGTCCAGTTCCAATAGCGCACAGCAACTATCCCAAACAACGGCTGCCTCTAATGAGGCAAGTCCATCGCTGCAGCGAACCAAGTCAAGCAAACGCATTACGGCACGAGGTGGGAGCCGCATACTTGACAAGTTCTCAAGGAAGAGTACAGTGGATGAACCTGGAGGTTAGTGGCAGATGGAAGCTACTCAAAACTTGATCTGTTATAAAAAAAAACAAAAAAACAAGACTGTAGACATTTAACTAACTCATACCAAAACAAAAAAACAAGACTGTAGACATTTAACTAACTCATACCAAAACAAAAAAACAAGACTGTAGACATTTAACTAACTCATACCAAAACAAAAAAACAAGACTGTAGACATTTAAATAACTCATACCAAAACAAAAAAACAAGACTGTAGACATTTAACTAACTCATACCAAAACAAAAAAACAAGACTGTAGAGATTTAACTAACTCATACCAAAACAAAAAAACATGACTTTCTAATGTAATTTTAGGCTTAACAGAAGTGCCAAGTGTTCTAATTTTAATTTCAATAATTATTTTAAAAAATGATTCAAGAATAGGCTTTAATATCCCATCCCCCAAGTGGTGCATAAAATGAATTTAAAAGTTTGGTCCATATATTTTAAAGCATTTTCTTTACAACCTTTATTCCTTAACACTATATTCTTTGTTTCTTAACTAAAGCAGATATCTCTTTTGTTCTTTCCAAGAGAAATATAAAAAGAAACATCTTAGTTTTTCATTCTCTGAAATGAACTGTTTTCCCACAGACATGGCCCCTTCTCACTCTCCTTTGCTGCAGCGCCAAGGAACCATCCGATTCCGTGGAAGTTTGTCGAAACAGAATAGTCAAGAAGTTGAAGGACCGATGGCCCAGGTGGTTTATGAAAATGAAGATGTGGAAGCCAATGGGAGAGGTGAGATCAGTGGACATGTTGTATGTAAGTCATAATATGTTCAATCACTAAAGTTTCTATGTGCTGTATCCAGAGCTGTCGTATGGGCCCGGCAACCCCTGCGGCTGCAAGTTCCCTCAGATATTTTCTATGTGCTGTATCCAGAGCTTTCGTAAGGGCGCGGCAACCCCTGCGGCTGAAAGTTCCCTCAGATATTTTCTATGTGCTGTATCCAGAACTGTCGTTTGGGCCCGGTAACCCCTGCGGCTGCAAGTTCCCTCAGATATTTTAAGGGCCCCAACATGTCATTGAAAGTATTTTAATGAAAAACATTTTAAATTGCATTTAATAGATACAGATGAAAACTGAAAAGTTGCATTGGGCCTCCAAAAGTCACACAATGGCTAAGAAATGTAATAATTATTTTTGTTAAAGTTTCAACCTCATGTCAGTTATAAGAGTCAACTTTTCAACCTCATGTCAGTTATAAGAGTCAACTTTTCAACATCATGTCAGTTATAAGAGTCAATTTTGAATTGAAGTTTGCTCATGTCAGTTATACAAGTCAACTTTTCAACCTCATGCCAGTTATACGAGTCAACTTTTCAACCTCATGTCAGTTATAAGAGTCAACTTTTCAACCTCATGTTAGTTATAAGAGTCAACTTTTCAAACTCATGTCAACTTTGAATTGAAGTTTGATTTTACTCTACTATTTTTAGAGAATCTGATTGTGCTGAATCTTGAATCACATTAATGTCAAACAAAGCATTAATTTCAAAAAATAAATAATCCCTAAAAAAAGCAATAAGCAGTGTAGGTTTTTAAAATATTAGGTCAGTATCTGATGAACAACCAATTAAGTCACAGACAATCATTTAAGTATTGGGTCAGTATCCTATTTAATCTCATCCATGGATCATGAGGCTTTAAGTACAAGTCTTTATGTAAACATTCATCTCTGACCTCTCTCTCCACACTTGACAACAGCAGGAATGGCTGGTGAAGCAGCTGCAGCTCTTGCTTCAGGAGAAGATCCCAGAGGTCATCGCCTGCAGCGGCAGGATGCCAAAAGCAGAAAGACGTTCAAAATCAAAAGAACTAAGACCAAAACATCGATGCGGCCACGTTTTATGTCTCATCGCCGCCGACATGATTTTTATGATGCCGATGGAGGTGGTGGAAATGATGACTCCCCGTCCCATACAACTGTTGTGTTCCATGACCACGGGAATGCTTTTCAGTTACGCCGCCCCGGAGGAGGTTCCAGCATGGCCCGGTCGGTTGAAACCATTCCAGAGTCTGTGGAAGTTAAGGTATATCCAAAAGCATCAAGAGTGTAAACTTGTTACCGTATGTTGGTCAAACTTTAGCATCAAATACAATTGAATTATAGCACTGAAGTCAAAGTTTCTGACTAGAAGATTTCTTAAATTCCATAGGAAAATAAGTTTATGATTGACATAATAGTTTCAACATTGAACTTCTTGTTTTCCTTCATCTTCAAGAAATCATTTTTTTTAAAAAGCATCATTTTATTTGAAATTGACAACAGTACATTAAAGAATAGCTGCGACAATCCGTGAACTTCCCATCTACTAAACAATGGCAGCAGCAATCCGTGAACTTCCTGTCTACTAAACAATGGCGGTAGCAATCCGTGAACTTCCCATCTACTAAACAATGGCGGCAGCAATCCGTGAACTTCCCATCTACTAAACAATGGCGGCAGCAATCCGTGAACTTCCTATCTACTAAAGTTACTTGACAAAATGTTCATTTTAGAAAAACACTTTATGAGAATCCCATTGAGTGCTAGCCACCTCAGGTATGCCACCGCACACTTTTTTTCATGACCCTGAACCATATTAATATTCTAACGTCATGCCCCCTTTTACTCATAGATTAATTACGTCATATTTATTGAAACTATTCCTGTAAAACAAAAGAAAATATTACGCACCAAACTTACTTGCGCCATTTTAAAAAATATCGTTTAAAGTAGTCATCGGAAATTTTATTTTGCTCAATATTGAACTCACCATTCCACCATACTTTCTGTGATAAATAGAGAATCATATTGATTGATTGCTTGCAATTTAAGCCATTAAACTCTTCATTAGTGCTGCCAAGTCGACTAAATTCTTATACCCATAGGCTAGAATATTCAATTAAAAATGGCTAAATGCTGCTAAAATTTTTAGCTTAATTTATAGCAAATGAAATTATTTATAATTCAAAATTTCAAACTTTAAATTCTGGTTTATATAATTTTTAATATAAAAATTAATGTTGTTAATTCCATAAGTCATGATCCATCAAATATAAAGTTATGTTTTTAATCAAATTAATTTAAAATAACAAATTTTTCACATTTTTCAAAACATTACTAGATGTGAATCTAAAATTATTTTCATTTCAATAATATAAGTATGTTATCTTAAAATTCACAATAAAGTAACAAATTGCAATGTTAAATATCAAATTATCATAACTTTTAAAACAAGTGTCAATTAAAAAATCAACTTTTGTATAGGTCTTCTTGTACAGTTCTTCTTGTACAGTTCTTCTTGTACAGTTCTTCTTGTAGAGGTCTTGTATAGGATTTCTAAAAGAAATGACCGATAGAAAAACAACAATTTGCTTTAATAATATTTTATTAGAAAAAAACTCGAATGAGGAATGGGTTAATCTGATTTAGCTGAATTGCAAATGACAAATACCTGCAGTGGGGAGAGTTTTTTGCAAAGTTTGACCAACAGCTTTTACGCACTGCACCAATGTGAAGAATTAGTGTGTAGTGTGTGTGTGTGCTTGTCTCCCCTAGGTTAGATACAGACCACAAAAACTGTGTGCTTGTCTCCCTTAGTTTAGCTACTAACAGGCCACAGCAACTGATAAACAGTTTATTGTTTCTAGTTGAATGTTATTATGTTAGGAGTGAGGCATATCCCACGCTCTATTGCTGGCAGACCCATGTGGTCGATCATTCACTTTGTTACTATGTTGATAACTTGTGATGCACATCTTATGCCATCTTTATTTTTATTAAGAAACATTGTGATTGAAGCAGCGCTCCTTATGTGATAGTTTGGAGAACCCTTGTGACTACTAGGGACATCCAATGTGATAGGAGCACATCTTGTTTAGTTAAAGGGAGAATCTTTTTTGATTTGATCCACATCCAGACTTATTGATAGTAAAGTCCTATTTTGATTTGATCCACATCCAGACTTATTGATAGTAAAGTCCTATTTTGATTTGATCCACATCCAGACTTATTGATAGTAAAGTCCTATTTTGATTTGATCCACATCCAGACTTATTGATAGTAAAGTCCTATTTTGATTTGATCCACATCCAGACTTATTGATAGTAAAGTCCTATTTTGATTTGATCCACATCCAGACTTATTGATAGTAAAGTCCTATTTTGATTTGATCCACATCCAGACTTATTGATAGTAAAGTCCTATTTTGATTTGATCCACATCCAGACTTATTGATAGTAAAGTCCTATTTTGATTTGATCCACATCCAGACTTATTGATAGTAAAGTCCTATTTTGATTTGATCCACATCCAGACTTATTGATAGTAAAGTCCTATTTTGATTTGATCCACATCCAGACTTATTGATAGTAAAGTCCTATTTTGATTTGATCCACATCCAGACTTATTGATAGTAAAGTCCTATTTTGATTTGATCCACATCCAGACTTATTGATAGTAAAGTCCTATTTTGATTTGATCCACATCCAGACTTATTGATAGTAAAGTCCTATTTTGATTTGATCCACATCCAGACTTATTGATAGTAAAGTCCTATAAGACACATACTTGTTACTATATATCAACATTGTCATCACCAATTGTCATTTTGTTATCTAACACATGACTTGTTTTCCTTATCAAATATGTCAGCCACTATAATTGTTTAAACTAGTTGTGCCGACCCTTGTTGAAATGTTTTCCCCGGCCACTTACCTACGACCCATGTTGTAGTTTTCCCCTGCCACTTCCCTACGACCCATGTTGTAGTTTTCCCCGGCCACTTCCCTACGACCCATGTTGTAGTTTTCCCCGGCCACTTCCCTACGACCCATGTTGTAGTTTTCCCCGGCCACTTCCCTACGACCCATGTTGTAGTTTTCCCCGGCCACTTCCCTACGACCCATGTTGTAGTTTTCCCCGGCCACTTCCCTACGACCCATGTTGTAGTTTTCCCCGGCCACTTCCCTACGACCCATGTTGTAGTTTTCCCCGGCCACTTCCCTACGACCCATGTTGTAGTTTTCCCCGGCCACTTCCCTACGACCCATGTTGTAGTTTTCCCCGGCCACTTCCCTACGACCCATGTTGTAGTTTTCCCCGGCCACTTCCCTACGACCCATGTTGTAGTTTTCCCCGGCCACTTCCCTACGACCCATGTTGTAGTTTTCCCCGGCCACTTCCCTACATTTCCATTCCAACAATTATTTGTGTAAACCCCTAATAAAACTTTTTCTTTTTAAAATGTGAAGTTGGCCAATGTTTCAGGTGAAGTTGGCCAATGTTTTAGTTGAGGGTGGCCAATGTTTCAGGTGAGGGTGGCCAATGTTTTTTTCAGGTGAGGAGGGCCAATGTTTTAGTTGAGGGTGGCAAATGTTTTAGGTTTTGCTATGATCGTTTTCTCCATTTCCACCCATGGAATCTAATAAATTATGTAGAAAAAATTGTTTTACAATATTTTCCAATGGTTGTATTGAGACTGTCGTTATAACAATCGATTAGTTTATTAGAGGGCAAGATTGATAAAGTCATAATAAAGTTAGTTTCTGTAGCACTGAACCAGCCTCTTATAAATTCATAATTATGTTATTTTCTGTGCCACTGAATCAACCTCTAAAATAAAAGCAACTCAGACAAAAGCGGGTATGTAGAATACCTCACCTGAAGTAAATATTAATAATCTCCCTTTATATTTTACATTTTTAATTTGGGTCAGATCTTTGGTAAAGATTTGTAACACAGAATAATTCACCCCGTCAAATCTTAATTTTTGTATTTATTCAGATTGATTTATGTCAAGGGGGCTGTAATTATAGAGTGTTTTTTGTGCACCCCCCCCCCCCCCCAACTCCCCCTTACAAAGACACTACTGCGATCTTAACCAACCTGGTGCCTGTCAACAACTCTTGTCAACATATCTAGCCATAGTATTCATCTAGCCATAGTATTCATCTAGCCATAGTATTCTTTTATTTTGCATCATTTTGTTAGAGGGTTTGACCAATATCCTTGTTTTAATCAATTACAATACATTGGGGAACACCAATAGTTGGGAAACACACCTTATAATAGATTTGGTAATAGATAATAGGTTAGGAATAGTTTAGGAAACATTCTTAATAATAGTTTGGGAAACACTCCTTACAAAATGTTGAGAAACTTCTTACAATTAGTTTGGAAACACATAATCTTAAAAATGGTAACCATGGTTACAATGGTAAACATCTTTGGAATGAACACTTATAGAAAATGTATACTTTTTTTGAATTTTTTTTTAATATAAAAATGACTCGTTAATTCTTTTAACCAAAGAATTCATGGCCAATAGCTGGCATGGTATGGGCTGTGAGGTTCATTCTGTCTGACTAATGTATGATTTTCTGGTTGTTTTTTAGTTTAACTGTATTGTTGTTCTGGGATTGGATACTGCAGCCTTGCATGACTATTGGATTGAAACCTTGCTTGGGCTGGGAATGACATGTCTGTGAAATGTTAGTTAATTAAAGACAAAGGAAGCTGTACTTTTTCATGTTTAAGTGACTTGAGCAATGCATGCATATTTGTTATGATTAACTTGTGCATATCAGTGCAAAAGAAATGTTTTTTTTCTGAGATACCTTTTTAAGTTTGGCGCTAATTTTGAATTTTTTTTTTTTTTTTTGAGTGATAAAAATAAAAATTGAAAAAAGTAATCTCGAATTAGTGTTAAAATTGTGTTATCTGATTTAGCTATTTGGCACTTTCATATTCGTATGTAACAATTCTGTATTAATATTTAACCACATCGCATACACAGGATAAAATATGTAACCATATGATAACCATATTATATGACCACATGTAGTCATACTTGTCAAACATATCTTTATATATAAATTATATATAACCTTAAGTCTTGCATGGAAGTCTCAAACTCAAATATTTAATGATTGTTGTATTTTGATATCCAAAACTACAAGCCAGCAGTATGCACTAAATGGCACAAATACAGTTAAGTCTCTAAAAAATCAGAGGCAATACAAGACTGTAATGACTTCAATCATTTAGATGGTTAAATGAAACAATTTTTTTCATCTTCTTATAGTGGCACTTTTAATAAGAAATGTTGCGCTTGCTAGTGCTAGAGTTTTGAGATATGTGAGTGTGTGTCTTGCCAACAGATATAAATGTGAGACTTTGTGCTATTGCTGGTTGACAGCAGAGAATTCATGTGCAATAAGTTAATTGAAATAATTTTATTAGAGTTCTGTTCTTTAGCTACTGTTGTGTCCCGTCCCCCCCCCCCCCCCCCCCCCCCCCCCCCCCCCCCCCCTGGCATGTTCAACACATCACTTTTAATGTTGTTTTTCCCCCTCTGTTGTTTTCCCTCTATTAGCTTAGCAAACTCTTTTCATAGTTCCTGATTGTTTTTTTTTTTTAAATATCACCATCTTCACTTGTTTTGTTTATTGTTTAAGAACCATTTAATAAAGAAAAACTGCATTATTTGTTTCTATTTTAACTCTTCAAATTTGTGTTATTGTTAAGCTTCATTAAATCCTAACGGTCAAATTTAAATGAACTGATTTCATCTTTCCTCCTGGTGTAAGTTAAAAGTCTGCCAGTTTTCCTCTTAAATAATCAATAAAATTTGCTCTTCTGTTTGGATGCTTAACTGCTTTGTTCGGCTTGAATCTGTTGCATTTTTGCCGCTTCATCATTCAATTTTCTTTTGCATCTTTCCCTCTTCTGTCTTTTCCCCGCTGTTGGTCGTCTGTGCAGTCTGCTCGTACTCGCTTCTTACAGCGTTCAAAGTCACACGATGAACCTTCTGAATCACCTACTCGACAGCGAGAAAAGACGAATGCGTCCATGCGCACCGGCAGAATCCACAGGCAAGGAGGTCGCATTGTTCACTCACGATCCCCGTCTGTCAGTCCCTCCGTGAGTCCAAGGCCCAGCTACCGCCGAAAGAAGAACCACAGGGACACTTCAGAACACGAGGAGACACCCGCTCGACAGTCTGGACACAACACTGCTGGAGCAGAGCTACTCTCTCCTACAACTACCCCTCACCAAGACGCACAAGAAGATGATGGAAACCTCATCACTGAGAAAAATTTAAGGCAAAGAATGGCTGCATCTGAAAAAAGGCTGACTGGAACTGATGCCACTTTTCTGAGTTCCGATTCTTCATCACAGAAATTTCCTGGGTCATCTATGAGATCTTCTGGACCACTTAGCCCCACATCTTTGGAAGAAAGCCGGAGAGACTCTGACAGGACTTCAAAGTCCGCCGCTGACAGCTCAGTGTCCTTCTCATCTCTGGACACTGTCATATCTCCCTTTGGAGAAAAGTCTTTTGACACGTCAACTTCCAACAGGGAACTTGGCGGCCAGCGGCACACCTCCCCTCCTTTTTCAACTTCCACCTCCACGCCCCCCAGCAACCAGTTACCTGATACGCCAACGCGCCGAGCTGCCATAAGATTTCCTAAGGATCAAACCATGAAACTTGGGATCATGTCTCCAACAAGAGTTGACATGAGGGAGCCTATGTCACCGATGCCACAGCTGCACACAACGTCTGCTTTAGATCAGATTAAATCCTACGGCTCCCCTAATGAATCACCAACCACACAGGAAGTTCCTGGAGCCATGTTGAACATGCCCAAGACGGAAAGAAACAGGAATGCTGCTGTTGGTGAAAGCAAACTGGACAATTCTAAATTTTCATCGGCTGGTCCGGCATTTCTTTCCACAACCCAGCTGGCCCAGTCGCAAGTTTCAAAATCCCAGCAAACGCCTGCAGGTAAATCTTCACAACAATATGAGAAGATGTCCACATCCCCCACTCAGCTATCTCCTCTTGGCTCACCCAGTCATAATCCTTCGTACAGCGGTTCTTCATCTCAGACCTCCCCAAGTCACATAACATCCTTTAGCTCATCACCTAATGACTCCCCAATAAGGAAACCATCTTTTAGCTCCTCCCAAACATCCCCGACTCGCAAGGTATCCTACTCCTCCTCCTCCACCACTGACTCTCCAACCCACAAGCTCTTCTTCAGCTATCGGAACTCTCCAAGCCACAGGATGGGCTACACTTCCCCTCAAGATACCTTTCAGCGGAAAACTTCATTCAGTTCCTCATCACATGAGTCGCCTGTAAGAAAACCTTCTTTCAGTTCATCCTCTGATTCTAGAAATAAGCCAACCTACAGCTCCACTACCAGCTCTCAGAGTTCCATTCTCTCCTCTCCAACCCATGTCCCCATAAAAAACTATGGGGCTCTTTCACCAGATCAAAGCCCAACTCGTTTCTATGGGCACTCACGAACCCCTTTGTCACCAGAGAGTAGCCTCAGGCAGATCATTAGTGGACTGCCATCCATCAAAAGCCCAAGTCCAAGCCCATTCAGCCAAATCAGTTCCACCAGAAACCCAACCAGCCCAACGACTTTAACCTCTTCTACCCAAGAGGCAACAAATTTCACCAAATATGGCCGACCATCATCTCCAAAATCTGAGAGCTCAACATTGAATGCTGATCGTTCCAGTGCATTTCCTCAACCCCTAGGTTGTATTTATTCACAAAGTTCTTCAAAAACAGCGTCCTGTTTACCTCCTGATAGAACTGGACAAGTACCATCTGTTCTAAGTCCAAGGCCCATCAGTGCTGCTAAACCTACTACTTTAAATCTGCGTGACAATTTAACAGTGGCATCCAACGAAGGGACACCGACAGTGACTTACACGACTTCAGCTCCAACATCTGTTTCCTCTCAGCCTGCCAGCAGAGCCCCACCAAAGCTTCAAAGTCCACCATCCTACAGGCGTCCGGGTGTCCTTGGTTTGGTCAGTAAGTTTGAAAAGCAAACCTCGTCTGGAGCCACTGCAACAAGTGGTGCGCCAAGGAGCGGTGGTCCCCAGAGCTACATGCAGTCAACACCTCACAGCGGTGATTCTACCCACTCTCATCGATTTAGTCCACCTGCGTACACTTACCCGTCCCCTTTGTCTTCACGATCAAACTATGAAGTGCCACCTTCTCCGGCAACCCACTACAATTACCCCTCACCTCCTCAACATTCTTACACCCCCTCTAGCCTCCGGTCCAATATAGCATACAGAAGCACCTCGCCGGGTTCCAGCACCCCTGGCAGTGACACGCGATCCTATCTCCACAGCGACACCAGGTCCTCTACCAACAGTGACATTCATGGATTAGGTCAGAGCCCAAGCTACTGCTATCAGTCAGACAACAGCCCAATGCACCAGCCTCCTAGCCCTGTGCCCAACAGTGTGTATGTAGCAAGATGTGACTCCTCAGATTCACTTAGTGCTAATGAGAGTTCTTCTCTGCTGAGAGATGAGGAGAAAAGCCAGTCTTCAAGTTCTCTCTACTATGCAGATGAGGATATTCCTGATACCATCTAAACCCCAAAAGGCGAGATCTTAATTAATATTAATTATCATCTTAAATTTGAAGGTTTATCTGAATAAATTTTATTGCTCACCTTTGGGAAGGTGGATTTTCTTTTGATAATAGGAACACATGAAATTGGACTAAATTGTGGGAATTCATCATTAACATTAAATAACTAAAAAATAAATGTAATAAAATCATTGACCAGCTTTTTTTAAAAAGTAATAGTAACATTATTTTGAAATCAGGAAATACATGTTATAGTTATTTGTAAGATTTGTTTCTACACCAGCCATCCAATCTCAACTTCATCAATTATCCAATCTCAACTTCATCAATTATCCAATCAAAATGTCATCAATTATCCAATCACAACTTCATAAATTATCCAATCACAGCTTCAACAATTATCCAATCACAGCTTCAACAATTATCCAATCACAACTTCTTCAATTATCCAATCACAACTTCATCAATTATCCAATCATAACTTCATCAATTATCCAATCTCAACTTCATAAATTATCCAATCCCAGCTTCAACAATTATCCAATCACAACTTCTTCAATTATCCAATCTCAACTTTATCATTTGTCCAATCTCAACTTCTTCAACTATCCAATCACAACTTCTTCAATTATCCAATCACAACTTCATCAATTATCCAATCTCAACTTCATCAATTATCCAATCTTAACTTCTTCAATTATCCAATCTCAACTTCTTCAATTATCCAATCTCAACTTCTTCAATTATCCAATCACAACTTCTTCAATTATCCAATCACAACTTCATCAATTATCCTATTATAGCTTCATCAATTATCCAATCTCAACTCCTTCAATTATCCAATCTCAACTTCTTCAATTATCCAATCTGAACGTCATCAATCATCCAATCTCAACTTCTTCAATAATCCAATCACAACTTCTTCAATTATCCAATTTCAACTTCTTCAATTATCGAATCACAACGTCATCAATCATCCAATCTCAACTTCTTCAATTATCAAATCTCAACTTCTTCAATTATCCAATCACAACTTCATTAATTATCCAATCACAACTTCATCAATTATCCAATCTCAACATCATCATTTATCAATCACAGCTTCTTCAATTATCCAATCACAACTTCATCATTTATCCAATCACAGCTTCATCATTTATCCAATCTCAACTTCATCAATTATCCAATAACAACTTATCAATTATCCAATCACAACATCATTTATCCAATCACAGCTTCATCAATTATCCAATCTCAACTTCATTAATTGTCCAATAACAACTTTATCAATTATCCAATCACAACATCAATTATCCAATCACAACTTCATCAATCTGCTAATAACAGGGCCTGAAAATTTATTAGGAACATATTTCATTACTCTGAATTGTACTTCATTTTGTCTTTTATTTAAATGGTTGTTAAAATCAATGTAAAATTATTTTTTTTAAAGTTGTGCAATTGAACTCTTCAAATAATAAAAAAATATTTTCAAACAGATTATACAACAGAAGTCATTTGATGTTGAATGACCAAGAACCTTGTACCTTGTGACCCCACATGTAGTATGACCAAGAAGTTGGAACCTATTGACACTACACTCAAGCAAATGCATATTTATTTACAAAAAGTTCCAAAAATAAATGTTTCTTTCTCCATACATGACATTTACCCCTCAACTTTGAGTGAAGACACTACTACTTATCTATCAATGAAGATATGAGTTTATATGTATTTAACATGTCAGTAACTTAAGTATGTAAAAGTAAAAAAGTCATACTTATTTATACAGTAGACAAAGTACCCAGTGTTGCTTGGGATGGCAATGAGAAAAAAACTTTCACAATTAAAGGCCCTGTAAAAAAACATAAGGAACATTTTTGTAAAATTGTAATTATTTTTAAAAAAATGTACTCCTATAAAAAATACTTCTATACCGGGTAATAACTCTTGGAAATATTTTGGGTCCCAGCTCCTTTTGTTTAATATTCAAGCTGGGTGGATTGGAAAAACATGATTTTTAAGTCTAATCAAACTTTTAAAAATTTTCCCATTAAAAAAATTATTCACCCATTTCATTTATAATAAAATATGATCTCCAAGGTATGCCATTGTCCTGTGGAATCCCCTTCCCTTGTGGATCCCATCTCTTTGGGTCATGTTCCATGGTGGGATCTCATTCTTCCCCAGTGGCATTTTGATCCCCAGGGATTCCATTCCATGAGATGCACTTTAAGTTTTCCTTCAGATAGGGCGGCAAAAATCCATCAATACACAAAGAAGTTTTTACTGACTGTGATTGTAAGCCTTCAACCTCATTACCAGTAATGTACATAGCCAAAGCCATTATAAGGGAAAATTAGTTTGGAACTTTCTAGAAAATTTCAAAATTATCTTTAAATCTATTTCATAAGATTTTAGGAAACTCATTGAAAGTTATGGAAACAAAATAAACATTAACACAGTTACATAAGAAATTAAACCTTCTGGAATGATCTAAAACTTGATGTAACTTCCAATGAAGCTGTAGAAATCTATCAAACTAACCTGACATTTCCATATGATTTTAGATTCCGCTGTAAATCCCTGTAGAAGATTTCTGGAAAATTCTAGGTTCAATTTAATACCCTCCCCTAAACTTGCGAGCCCATTCCATAAAGGAGCTGTTTTAAATATGCCTAAGTTTGAGGGGGAGGTGGGGCGCAAAAAAAATCACTCAGATAAATAATGGAGTTAAGCTTTAAATGTTTTCCAATGAAAATCTTTTGAAAAAGATCTAGCAAATTAAATTAACAAACTTTATTGAAAATTCTAGACCGTCCTTAAATGGAGTGGATATTATTACTTTCAAAACCACCAATATTTTAATGTAGACTGAAGGGTATGACTCCCAAGCTTGGTCTAGATTCACTTAGAAGCCTCTATTATTTACTTAGCATATTGGTATTTATGATGAATAATAAAGATTAATAAAGGAAAAATGAAATAAGTGCTCCCAGCCCTGAAAGAGTGGTTATCATGAGTTCAGAACCCACCAGTATTTCCTTCTGGATGAAGATGGATATGTGTGCCAAGTTTTTTCAAGATCCATCAATTCCATGTACAACCGCATGCGTAACAAACAAATCCACACATTTTTATAATTAAATAATTGAATGTTTTGTTTCTATAATTATGTATATCAAAGCAAAACTGTGTAATTGTTGTGTTTAGTCTTAGACACGTATCCGTGACACTGAGTTGATAGTAGCAATATGTAACACTGGGTTGTTTTAGCAATAGGTGACATAGCCACTAGATAAAGATCATAACAGTGAATTTTTCCATGGGTCAATGACCTTATGTTATTGATATTAGGGAATGTTGGCATTACGTGTCTGCTTATCAGTATTACAAGGCCTCTTGAATGTTTCTCTTTGCCTAAATGTAGTTTTAAAGCGCTGTTTTATTTAACTCATATTGAGAGAGATAGATATATTTAATAAATAAGGTCATTTAAAATGAAACTCTTCATTGCCACCTCAGATGTTCTATCCTCTTGCTTTAAATGGAAACAAAGCCGTTGGTTATTAATTTTGGATTAGTTCGTCGAGTTGTCAGGAATTAATTTTTAAAAATCGACCAATTCCAGAAATTGAATTTCTTGAGTCCATTTAATTTATGTCCGTTATTCTTGATTTCACATGCAGTGTCAAGCAACAATTAAAAGACAATGTAATCCACCTATGTATTCCTATCCATAAAAGCATATTAATTGTATTATACTATTTGTTGAATGATATGTTAACCAATCTTTTTAATCTTTATTAGCCTTTCTTCTATTTTGGGGGCTAAAGAATGCATTAAAAAAACTTCTATTTTAGAATTGTAGCATATTATTTTATTCTGAGGTTAATCATAATCTCTCATGGTCATATAATATATCTATATATACGTGTGTGGGTACATCATATCTAATTAATATACACAGCAATCTCTAAAAAGAAAATCCATTCAGTCTTTGTTGGTTCCAGGCATGTATTAGATTTACCTTTGATCATGACTCCATAGGCACTAGGTGAATGTACAGGCTAGTGCTACCAATACTCCCCTAGACACTAGGTGAATATACAGGCTAGTGCTACCAGTACTCCCAAGGCACTAGGTGAATATACAATTAAGTGCTACCAAATCATTGATGACATCTACATTCAATTGCTTTCTTTTTTAAAAGGGTGATGATAAAGAGATCAATAATGATGACTCCCTTCTCTAACTTTGTGGGCGATCTCTAATTACTTACTTGTTATTTTTCAAGCTATTTAAAAATTAAGATCAAGCGGAATAAATGAATAGAATTTACCTTGATCTGAAAAGCAATATGAACATTCACAATTACATATTCATACATTATGTCTGTGATCCCTTATTTAAATTAACCTTCACAGATTCTGAGACCCAAACTCCATGTTGTATGTCATATAAAAGTGGGTGGTTTTGAAATAATTATCCACTGCAACTTAACATGGGTAGATTTAAATATAAAAAGAGGTTTTAAGTTCCTATATTTTGTCGATCACAGCTTATTGTAGTTTATAGCAGTACCAAGAGTTATACAGAAAATAAAAGTGCCAAGTTTTCATGGAGATTTCTTTTTCTTTGGGTTATGCCTAAAAATCTTGCCAAGTCTTTTAAATATTTCCGAAGCCAGACGATTATTTTTTTTTCATGTACCGTTACCATTTTTGTGAACTAATAAAGGACACTGTAATTTATCCTTAGTATTATTAAGACTATT